TCTCTGGTAGGAATTTTGGCACCACACACCAGGCACAACTTGTCTGGCGGTCTTGGGCACACATCGGGCCTGTGCCCGAGCCTCCTTCACTCTTAACAAAAGTCTATTTGCTTCCGGTAGAGAGAAACTTTCATGATGATGCTGTTGAAGTAAGCCCAGATGGGGACCCTGTTGCCTTCGTACAATAGAATCATGGTGGTCGTGCTCTCTAGTCTCTTGGCGTCCGCCAATGAAGGATTCCTCACGTTCATCAGTGCATGCATGAGCTAATCATATGTGTACTTCAAGGGAATGTTGTGGATTTTCCCCTTGGCATTGTGTTCCGGTTCCGAGACGTACGCGTTGGTCTCGTACCCCTCCTTTTTGGTGTATCGCTTCGTCGAGGCTGGCTCTGCACGTGTGTCTATTGCTCAGCCCGTCTCTTGGTCTGAAGATTATCTTGATGTCATCTGCAGGTAGCCTTCGCATCTTGCTTGCTTGTAAAATCTTGTTCATGATGCTCTTCCCACCTCGGTGCGTCGGGCTTCTTGAGCGGGTTCTTTTCAATGCTGTCTCTTCGCCAGGGCTCACACGGCCCTTCCTTTTATACGTGACTTCGATCCAGCCCTTCGCGTCGCCATCAGCGTCTCGTCTCGTCAGATCGCTATTCTCCTCTCCAGAATCATTACTACATGCATTTCGGAGGTGCGTTCAATCCCTTGGCTTACAAGTCGGCACCGTTGATCACCCTTCCCGAGGCCGGCGTCGGCCTTTTCGGTGTAGGCTTACCTGGGCACACTTGTAGCTCGGGTAGTTCTTCACATCGAAAGAGCTTCAGAAAAGGTCTCTCACCAAGGTTTTTGGTGTCGAAGCGTTCGGATGGACCCGCTCTATCCGGTGGTGGTCGATTGCCAGGTATTTGACTTGATAAATCTGCGGGGAACATTCATAAAAGGCTGAGCCGACGTGAAACGCGTCCGCCGCGTTGCGTTGCCCGGCAGCGTCCTCCGCTAAAATGCAGTAGGCCCGTGAGCTCAGATTTGGGTGAGCGTTAAAGAAACACAGGTTGTCCAAATTTTCGCAACCCTCCAACATGATTGATCAACTGGTGCAGTGTAACGTCCCAAAACCACCATATGATTATGGGAGACGCTGTAGTGGAGGGCTCTGGAAATTTAGAGTACCTGGGGCTCTTTAACGTGCACCCAAACGCTCCAATATGGCGTCTCTCAAAAAGACATGCTGGTTTTCGAACGTTAAACACCACGTTATAATATAATTATTATAATTCGTTGCTGATTGTGGGAAAAGGACTAGCTAATGTTGTTTTGTATACGGGTGCACGGTATAAACTAAGAAAACGCCCCGAGGCCCTTTACATCAACCACTGCAGGCTGCGGAGTGTAGCGCAGCTGCCTCGCTAACCGGGAGATTGGAACGCAGCAGGTCGCAGCATTACACAACAGGCGCCACAGAAAGGCCTCCGTAAATGCCCCACATTAATCCCAAGTAAGGTATTTATGGTCGCCTTCGGTCCTTACCTCAACAATGACGTCGTCGGTGATCGTACGGTGGCGTGCACCATTGAGGCCCCACGGAACTTGCCTCACCACTGTCGTTACCTTGCTCTCGTGGTCTCCTTGCAATCGCCGTCTTTCATCCTTCGCTTTCGCTCTTATGCCTCATTCACACAGCCATAAACGCTCCTTCGCGTCCCCGTCACGGCAACACTTCACGTCCGGGGAAATGATCTCCGAGTTGTTGTCCTCTCGAAAATGGGGTTGATGATGACGCCTAGCAGTGCTCTGTGTTTTCTTCACCGGCGTGATGACGGAGCCCCACCCCTACAAAAGGACCAATCAGATATCTTCACTGCTTTCTATAGTAGCACGTGTTTTATAGTCACGAACTTCATCGGCAAACTTCGCGCGGCCGTCGTTTTTCCCGCTTGCGACGCCATAACAGTGTCATAAAGCCACTAAACATCCCAAAATATAATATCTGGTTGTCATGGTAACTACTTGACGAAAATGCCTTCTTTAAATTTGGTTCATCACAATAATAACAATGTCGTGTTTATGGTGTATACTGTACTCATAAAGATTGCATTCTATGTTAACGTGGGCATTACACTGCAGACAAAGTCGGTTAACTTATTTGATGCGAAATGCTCAATTCATTTCTCCAGGTTAATGCACCCACGGTATCAATAAGCTCACACTTCACAAAAGCGTGCTACAGTTGACGTCATTGTCGCTGTCGCAAGCTGTGGTGCGTTTTTTTTTTGACGTGACGGGGACGTGATGGAGCGTTTGGCAGCTGTGTGAATGACGTTGTCCTAACTCATTCTGTCGTTTACGCCGATGCCACTTAGTGCATCAACGATTGTGCATCAGCTGCCCTCCAAAATCTGAAGGGGTCCTAATCCTTGAGATAGATGTAGGGTATTGGTACTTGCGCGTCGCAGTTCGTGCTATCGATTTCCGCGGACACTTAATGTTTTACCGAGTGGCCATCCTGACGGATTTCTTCGGCTTGCTTGCCGGGTGCTGTAGAATTCCCAGAGATCACGCAAATGGGAACGTGCGGCTCTGGTCTGCCCCGCGAGAGTAGGGAACGATCCCTTCTGCTTTAAAAAAAAACAATTCATCTTTTCAATGAACTCCTTCATTTAGGTCTGATTATTTGCCATACAGTTATTTGATGTCTTCCTATCACATGTTTCGAAGTAAACTCTTGAGTCACAATCATTCATTTTAGTGCGGTCAAATCTTTTATTTGAAAAATCTTGCGCATTTTTATTTTATTTTTGCTGAAAAAGCACTTTGCAACAGCAAAGGAACAAGCAGATTTAAAATGATGCAAGCAAAAGCACTGTGTTTAAAAGATGAAAGAACAAGCTCTCTGTGACAGGGCTTCATTTTGCGCAATCTTCTATGTGCGTGCTTGTGCCCTTTTATGGAGTGCTCCTTCGAAGATTATGCCTGCAACACTAACACTTCAGTACACATTAAGGCTGCACAAGGTCTGCCTTGAAGTGTGAAACTGTACGATTCTGAAGGCTGGATTCTGATTGCTTGCTTTTAGGTTGTTTTATAGGCTCTAGCTAGGTGATCCCGGGCTGTTAGTGCGCTGATGATATACGGAAAGAGGTTCAAGGTAAAGCGCAGGCCACCACAGACAAGATACAGGGACGCCGTTGTTGACGTTGGCCCTGAATCGATTCAGCGTTTTCTGACAGCCACTGTTGCCTCTGCGGTTCCCTAGCATTCTCTCATTGTACTCACTTGAGATCTCCGGCTCGCCATCGTCTCTTCACAGGCATTTGTTTGTTTGTTTGTAGCCTAGAATGCATGGCTCATACCCACTCTGGGGACTGGCCAAAAAACATATGGTCTCATATGGACGATAACTGCACTACTGCTTACAGTAACAAAAAAAGTAGAAAGAAAACAGTATAGTAAATGTACAAAGATTAAGAGAGAGAGGGAGAGTAAAAATAAGAAGAAAAGAAACACTAATACATTCTATACCTTCATTTTGGGAACCGACCAGACAGCTCAGTTTGCCAAACCCATATACTTTTGTATGTATGTCTCAGATTTAACCACATTTCGGAAATCACTTCTCGACCCACCTTTTTTTAGTCTTTGTTGCGCCAACTGTTGTCTTTTTCACCGTCAGTGGAAGTTCTGTGTATTTGGATTTACCCCATTTCTGTGGCGTTTACCCGTTTTCGGTGATGGTGTTTCTTGAAGGCGTGTGAATTTGTGTGGCGCACGCCAGTTTGATGGACTAACTGTTATTCACTCATCTTTAGCAAGGCAGTGGTGAACTTTACGCGATATCTAGAGCGAATACTGTGCTGTAATCATGATTTCTTTTCGGAACTGGGCGAAAAAAAATAAAATATTTACTTTACAGTGTCGCACAGCGTTATAAATCACACCATTATGGTACCTGTTTGCACGAGCGAATACAAACACATCACAGGGGTTGACGTTGACAGTTTATTTTCTCAATGCTATCCTGACCCGTTGTCGAGCCAGCCCCTTTTACGGCTCCAACAGACCATCGAAGTTGATAGAAGAAGTCGAGAACTGTTGGCTTTCCTTCTGTTGCCCTTTCACAAAAGGAAATATGTTTCCCTGGTAGCCAGTAAAAACCTTATCGTGGGAGCGTTCGCTTTGCTGGGGCTGGGATGTCTCAAACGTTTTTCATATTTGTTTCATGCCTAATGAATTGCATTCAAATAAGTTGTTAGTGAGTGGTGAGAATGTGTTTTGTTTTGGTTTTTCGTCCCGTCTCAGTGCGCTGTTCTTAACATATACCAATTTTGGCTCGCCAATAAACAGTGTCGCCCTTTTAGGCGCAAGCACGCAAGACCCGTTAGACAAGATTGGTCAAGTTAGCGTCATGAAATACGTTAAATACATAGAAGGAGCGTGCTAATAGTCCTCCAGAATAATATAAAAACAATCGCTTGCGTATCACCCACTTTTGGGAGTGAAATGTCATCGTAACGTTCTCTAAAGGGACAATAAGGGCAACTATGCTTGCGACGTTGATTGTCGAAGTTCGAAAACATCGTTGTGTTAATTTTATACCGAATAAGTGCTCACCTTGAGGTAAAGTAACGTTTTAGCATTCCGCATTGCCTCGGCACACTTCTACTGACCGGCGTGAAAGCGGGCTATTAGACGTCACTGTTTCTGTGCCCATTTTTGCCCACGCTTACGACTTTGCCCGTGTATATTCTCGCGCTGTTAAACCTCAAGTATGCTAAACCAACTAGTACACTCAGCCACTTTGTTGGGTTACAACGAGGCCGCAGGCACCAGTAGAAGCCGAGCGAAAGTTGCGGCAGACACGGAGGCAACAACGGCCATTGTACAATTTTCTGCCATCTTAAAACCCGTGGTTTTGCTTTTTTGGTTTAACTAGACCCCGCTAGATGGCGCCACCTACCCAGCTTACCCAGCTGAAAACAGAAGAGTCAGTTGTTTCTCTTTTTTTTTTAGCTGTTTATTAAGCCTCTTGATGCGCGAAAAAGTATTTGTGTAATTGTATCAAGTTTGACTACTAGCGATTAATTGTAGTCGGACACTATCATCTCTTCGTGATCATTTCAATAATGTTCCACTCGTGGCATACCCTATATCATACATTTAGCTTAAGTTTTTGGCAAGTAAGGCACTGCTGTTGATAATATGATCGTTTCGAACTTTGTCATACATTTAACTTTCACTCTGACATAAATGGCCATTTGCCTTTATGTGTCTCTTTAACGCAGAAAAAATGGCTTATTGTAGGCAATGACGCCCCAACAGCAAAAGCAATAACTTTCTGTTTTATCAGCAGAAAGTTTTTTAGAGTTCAAAGATTCCAACGTTTCAGCCGCTGAGAATGTGTACTTATCTAATGCAAAATCAAAAGCACCCAACAGAAGTTTCTATGCACGTATTAGGCAGGAATATTAAGTTTATATCTGAAAACCCTAATAATGTTCCCTGGCTATGCGTATGTTTCACGTGCATTTACTTGTTTGGTGTATTCTGTAATCACTCTCATGAATCTGAAGCCCTCAAGGCTAAACTTTTCAATTAAAAAGCTTAGGTGACGGTGTTTCACACGGTGTTTTACAGTTCGACAAAGCGGAACCTCGCTGGTCTTTCGGGTTTAGCGGTGAATTGCGTAAGAAATCCGATGTCACCATGGTGATTTTCCACTCGGTAACGCTTGAGTACCTGCAGAAGAGAAGACAGTGTAGGAGAAATTTCAGTTCGGAAACATTCTGAACCCACGGATAACCCATACATTTTCGGTGCTCAAAATAACGAAAAGTAAGATGTTCAGAAAACTAGTTTCTTTACAAGACACAGCCGAAGAATTAGAGCCGACATTAATGTAATGCATTTAAGCAACAGGTATACCATAATGAGCCGATGTTAACCACATCTCATAATGGTTCACTGAGACGTGTCTGCATTCACCGGGTTTCAACAAATACAAAGAAAACAGCTTGTCATGACGAAGGAAGGAAAATAGGAGGAAACTAACCGCAGGGAGGTTAACCAGCCTATAAGCAGTCCGTTTACGTTCAGATTATCTCCACAGTGCCTTGTACACCTTTCAAACTTTGCAAGAAACTGATCACGGGAAGCAGTAAAGAGTTCTTTCAAAAGAAGAAAAAATTACTTCAGTGTAAACGGCATGTTACGAATTTCATATTGTGCTGTGGTTGACGTTACATGGGCAGAGGCGCGCCAAGGTTCTCTCAGTTAGTTTTCATAACTAGCAACTTTCCTTGCAGCCTCCTACTACCCCGTTAGAATGGTCGAAAGTGAAACGGAAAGAAGCTTCGCAATGGCATACAAAATGGATGATGTGATGATATGTGGGGTTTAAAGTCCCAAAACCACCATATGGTTATGAGAGATGCCGTTGTGGAGGGCTCCGGAAATTTAGACCAGCTGGGGTTCTTTAAAGTGCGCCCAAATTTGAGCACATGGGCCTACAACATTTCCGCCTCCATCGGAAATGCCGCTGCCGCCGCCAAGATTCCATCCCCTGACCTGCAGATGAGATACAAAATTGAAAATGTGGCGATGACGTCATCGTCCCAATGGCTTCCGTTTGGGTACCAGCATACCGGGGGTGCAATATGCAAAAAGTAAGCGGTTTTTGCCAAACAGCTAGGGATCTCGGACGCAATTACTAACAAAAACCTGCCTGATACGACGAGAGGCATTCTTCCCTTCCTCTTCCTGCTGCGCACATGCACACAGAGAAAAGTGCATGATTCATACAATAACGGCTGAAAGACCACAGTAACAGGGCTTATAAATGTCACTATACAGATTTCTTTCAGTGCAGTGCCGAGAGTGCTGATGAAAATTGCTTTTTTGATAAATACTTAACAATCGGTGAAAGCAGATAGAAGGTAACGGTGTAACAAATGAAAATCAGCCGAATTTTTAGTAGACAGACAAACAGACTGACGGATAGATAGATATAGACAGACAGACAGACAGACAGACAGACAGACAGACAGACAGACAGACAGATAGATAGATAGATAGATAGTAGATAGATAGATAGATAGATAGATAGATAGATAGATAGATAGATAGATATAGACAGACAGACAGATAGATAGATAGATAGATAGATAGATAGATAGATAGACAGACAGTATAATGAACCAACCGCTCAAAGGATGGGCAGGAGGATGGACATGTATATATTCAGGAGAATGGGCAGAAGGGAGGGCGGAAAGACGCATGCACCGGCAGACGCATGTATGGAAGCACGGACGGACTATCGGAAGGACTAGCGAGTGAGGTCAAGTGAGTTTAGCGCCAGCCCTCTAGTGACACATTACTGCAGGCGCTTCCATGCCTACTCCGGCGCACCAGCTGTGCTGCGCATGCGTATGACGTCGCCACTTCTACGGCAGGCGCAGCACAGCAGTCGATAGGCCACGTGAGACTGCTTAAACTTTGCCAATTAGTTACGCTAGAAAACAGTTACATGAGCCAGTTTCACAGCACAAGTAATATTCCCCATTCAGGCTCTGGGTTTATGGAAGAAAGGTAAGGCAGGCGTTGTGGATTCACAGAAACCTGTCTAGAAGCATAAAGGAAGTGAGCGATGATCTAAGGAAACTTCGCGGTTACTCAGTCACTTCTGTCATTTCAGTATTTACTATCCTTAGCCTCGTAACCTACACCCATTACTCCGACATTTTGGAACTTTGTCCGGACTGCCACAATCGCAGTGGCTTAACCACAAGCTCTGAAGGCACCCCTTTTTACAAGAAAAATATCAAAAATTTTTCGAAAATGTTTTTTTTTATTTCACGCTCACCAGTCCGGCTTTCAAAGAACAATTCTAGGCTGTCAGACGACCCACGATGCGTTGGTGAGGCAAGGCCTTCCCATCACTACGTGGAAGCGGCCCGCGATCCTACCCCTATAAAACGGGGATGTAATCCTTCAGGACCGCAAAAAAGTTTTTCATCCATTTATTCATATCTCTCAGTGCCAGGCATCTTTCGCAGTTTGTTAAAATGCATAGGGTATTTCAGGGAATGTAACATTCTCACACGTTCGAATTCATTGAACTCTCAATTGTGTAAACGTCAAAGGACCCGAGAAAATTCAACACACCTAATATTCACATGAATATGTAACATAAATGCGCGCAGTAGATGTAAACCTAATTGTGGGCAATGTTTTTTTACTTTGAAAAGAATTTGGCAATTTCGATTTGGACTAGCGAGCTGAAAGAACAAGACGAGACAAATCTGTCCACAATGTCTACATTTGTGGGCACTGTCTCTCGGTAGCTTCGCGCTGTGACGCGAAGAGTTCCAACTTTTCAGTATATGCTACATCATCTGCTAGAGATACGATTCAAAACTACATCAACTATTACAAGATCTTCGTTGAACTCTTCTGCTTTCGGTGCCGGAGAAACAGTTGGAACAACTTCAGAATCTAACAGTTCTGCTTAAATATTTCAGCGCACGCAGTTCGTTTTTTGTCTTCTGTGCGGCAACTTTGCCTCGCAAGTGCTGCATGCACAAAAGATGTTGCACCGCCACCGATGAATAGGTGTTTTGGGGGTGGCACGCATGGACTACGCCAGTGCTGCAGGTTGTAAGCACTTCATTTATTGCTAAAAAATTAAGCTGGGGTCTCAAGATCAAGTTTGTTCAACTGAATTGCTCCTGTAATTACAATACTTATTTGCACGAAACGTGTAAGAAAACCACTCAGAATGTTCTACAAGATTGCTATTCTGAACTATTTGTTAAATCATTATTCGTACAAATGACAGCTCACTGTATTTGTTTTGTGTATCTGGACACTTGTGTGTTTTAGTAGTTTAATGTGTTGTGGAACACTACGGAAAGCATCAGTGGGGTCCACAATAAGAGTTAGCCTAATATTATCTGGAGCTTTACGTCCCGGAAGTACGATATGATCACGAGATATGCCGTAGTGGAGAGTTGCGGAAAATTTGACCATCTAGCGTTCTCTAAAGAGCACTGATATCGCGCAGTGACACGGGTCTCTACCAATTAGCCTACACTCAAACGTTGGCGGTATGGCCGCCATGAAACCCCTTCTGCTTGGCATCCGTGTACCATAGACACTATCCCACCGAAGAGGACATGCGTTAATTTAAATTGATAAGTAAAATATGATGTGCAACTCTTTAGACAAAAACGAGTGCTGTTCGGTATGTATGCTTGGTGGACAAATATCTTCGGTAGTAAAAATAATTCTGTAGACGTTTTTAGCTTTCGCATAAGTTGCGTGATTGAATCAGCTAACGAGACGCCCCAGAGCAGGAACGATGAAGAGCTGAAGCGAAAACACAAACGTAGAGCATAACAAAAGAAGCACAATAAAAAATGCAAGTTTTTCCAACTTAGCCTATGTCTTTTTACTTCAGTGTAAACGTCGTGTTGTCAATTACATCTTGTCCAACAAGTGATATTACATAGGCAGAGGCGTGCGAAGGTTTTCATAATTAGAAGCAGCGAGCAAATTTCATTGCTGCCTCTTCTACCCCTATTGCAATGGCCAAACGCGAAGGGAAAAGAAGCTTCGCAATGCGCACAAAGTTTCAAATGAGGTGATGACACCCTGGACCCCGATTATAGCATCTGGAGATATATGTGCGCGGCAATATCTCTCGGTGGAAACAACGGTGTCCTGCCTTGAGTGAACGAGCAACAGGCTGGAAAAATTATATGCTTTGCGAAAATCTAGTTATCAAACAAGATTACGGGTTTCGTAGTAGAGACACCACTATGACTCTTTGGTATAACTGCAGTCGCTCACAACAAAGCGTGCGGTTTCCCAGAAGAGTCAAAGAGCGCCCTAAAGACACATACGGGGACCAACAGTGAGTTGCTAGGCACTCTGGAAAGCCGAGTGGCCTGTATAATCACATTTTAACAGCATATTCAAGTTACTCCTTGCTGTGGGAACCCGTAAATCATTTCTTAAACCTAGCTTTTTTCACCAGATGCAATTTTTTTTGCCTAGCCAGACCACCTTCGTCACTAAAGAAAGGGAGCGCTATGCGTACATGTCTATCAATCCTCATCATTGAACTCCGCGTCTCACATCTCGCAACTCGTGTGACATATATGCACAACTCTTCAAGAACTTTTGAGCTGAAAGCTTACGTAGAACGCTTGAACCCTATCGAACATACCTGGGCGACAAGAATGGTGATCTCCATCTCAGCGACTCTCCTGCCTATGCACATTCTCGGTCCAATGCTGAACGGGAGAGAGGCGAATGGGTGTAGCTGCCAAGAGCCATCACTTGTCTTCTGCGAGTTGTCGTCGCTCGACCGTAGCCACCTTTCAGGCAGGAATTCGGACGCCCGAGTAAAGTTCTCCTCGAGTCTTCCAGCTACAAATGGCTCAGTGCGTAATACCGTCTGAAAAGTGGTATTTAGACTGTTACAATCGCCATCAGTTGAATACATTTCGCTTTTGCCAGCCACTGTGAAGTCTTTGCTTAAAAACAAGTAACAAGTTAGGCGAGGGCACCCGGTAACGTAATTGTGGCTCGTTATGCAGCACTGATTGAAGCTTGAAAAGAACCTAAGCCCAGTAGATACCCATCTCGTCAGTTGTGGTGACTGCTGACAGAAATTTGGGTTATTTTTTCATAACCTTCAGCCTGCATATTGTAAGGAGAAGACTATGTAAGGAAATATATCATTTAGACATTTTCTGTCTTAACTACGGCGAAAACAGGCCAAAGGAAAATAGAAACGTATGCAAATGCATTGAACGTGAAAGCCATAGGAAGTCAGGAGCAGGTATTCGGCTGCCCCTCAGCGAAGCTCATGTTCATTGGTAAACGCGTATTGGCGTTTAATGCATGCAGTCTGCCCGGCGTTGCCTTGAAGGCTTAATCACGCAATCACATATACATGTGTATATGTATATATACAAATAAAATTGCATGAATACAAAGCGCAAAGTTTGTACGTATTACAAAAATGTTTACAAAAGACGATTGTCAGCTTTTTAAATGTTGTTTGAGTGCGAAAATGCCTCTGGAAAATCACACTTATTCGGTGCTTCAAAGACGTGGTGCAAGCTTAAAAACGCGAAGAACGATTATCAGTCTTTGTTCTCGTTTTTAAGCTTGCCCCATGTCTTTGAAGTAACGATGCACCAACTTTGCCCAACATTGCGTACTGCTAAGCTTATCGGATAAATCTGGACTATAAAAAATTACTGACGTGTGTATATCAGAGATCAATAAATTTATCTAAAAACACCAAGTCCTACTCTTAACGAAGGACCCCGAGACCAAAACCAAACTTTATGCAAAAGGAGCTTTTTGCCACTATTGCGTAGTAATTGCCACTATAACCGTGTGTATTACGACAATAATCGTACGAAGTTTCTGCTACGATTGACGCACTGCCTGCTTTTTGTGGGCCTCTGCCATTTATTCGTAATCAGGACATTCGACAGAGCCAGACAGTTCTTTGTAACCGGGATTTTGAAGAGCGAACCTAGTCCTAGCTTGTGGTAAACCATCAGTTGTGATCCAAACAGTATCAAAGTCAAGAACAGGTATTTGCCACAGAAATTGACCAAGTCCTACTAATCACCATCAATCTGTTACAAATGGAAACAGATGGGCAGCAGACGTCAACTACTTCCTCACGAGGCATAGGCATTCCTACACCCGCATACATACGGCGCGAAGGAAATGTCTTAACACTCCACTATTCAAGACCACTGACAGTACCGCATAGAGGAGTGGCTTTTAACAGAGCAAGAAATAATTTAGTTCATCGCTGTAATTAACTGTCACTGTCATAACAGGAAGACAGTCACGGCACTGCACTTCTTTCTACGTGTAGTATCACACAGTGAGGGTGTATGCGAGAAATGCTAGAGTGAGGAAGAGAGAAAGAAGGGAATGGAGAAAAGCATTGTATATGAAGATTAAGAAATAAATAGAGCAAGACAAAGGAGAGAATAAAACTAGACTTCAAAGAAAGACAGAAAGAACATAGAAAGAGGAGGTAAGCGAGAAATAGAGGAATAGCGATACAAAGAAAGGAAAGAAAAATTGAAGGAGAATAAAAAAGGCAGAGAGAAAAAATAGAGAAAGCAGACAAAAATGACTAAGAAAACAAAGCATGGGGAAAGAGGAGAAAAATGAGAAACAAAGAGAGAGTGAAAGAGTAACAAAAAGTTACAATGTTTTCCCCTAAAGGGAAGCACGTGTAGATATGAAGCAGCGGGTGCTAACGCTTACACTGCCGATGACATTGACGCCGGCGCCCATCGCGGTGTCGCGGAGGTGCGAGACCTAAGGAGGCCTGAAGTACGAAGTTACAGGCCGGTTTTTTCTACTGAAACATGCCATTTGCTGCTAATGGGCAATGATGGACAAAAGACTCCGATTGCACAGAGGCTCCATCGCTGCCCGCTTTTAGTTAACGCGCTCGCGCTGAATTTTGAATGCTCGACAACGCAAAGGAGGAACCTCCTACGGCACTACCTTGGAGTTCAAGATCAAGTGCCTATAAATATGGGATGGCCCGTGAAAGGCTTGGCAGCGGGAGTGGTCATTTTTTTTTCTTTCAATCAAGAAACTGACTACCTGACGCTGCGTGCGTCTGCGTTGCGATGGGAAAGAGAGAAGAAGCTTAGGAGAGGACAAAAAGGGATACGAAACGCGCATGCGCAATGGGGGTGCGAACACTGTGGGGAAGAATGCTTAGAGGAGAGAAACAGAGGCGAGGGCATGTTAGCAGGCGCTTCATGCTTCGACGCTGCGAGGCGAGAGGGGGAAACCTTACAATAGGAGAGAAGGGGAGCGGACGCGCATGTGCAGCAAGGGTAGTTACGCCGCAGACGGTATTGAGCTTGATCCTAAGATGATTCGCATCTAAAATGGCCGCCCAAACCCACATTTCCTTCTTACTTGAGTCTGACACTGACACTCTCTTGGTGATTGACTAAAAATTCTGGAGGTTCCTACCACGTCGCGCAAAGCTTGGCGCAACCAAGATGGTAGATTCTCAACCTAAACATAGTTGTGACATATTTAAACCAAGCAAGAATCATTTAGTCCCAGCAGCAACAAGCATTACAATGAAAACTTAAGGATTGACCAGCCTCGATATCAAGATCTTTGTGGGGATAGTGCAAACTTCACTTGTATTTATTTTTTCTTCTTTCATTGAACTTGACTAAGGGCGAACACATAATATAGAAGGCGCCTTCAGTCTGCTGCTAATGAAATCTTCTTTTATAGAAAGTAAATGAGGTCGCAAATTTTGTGCCTGACCAGAATTGTTACTGAAAATAACCGGGACTTCGTGCTCTGCTATTGTACGTAGCCTCATCAGTAAGCGTGGGTAACACACTTATTCCTAGTCAGAAAAAAATATACTCCATAAAAGAGTGACGAGCAAAATGAAATTGAGGACTGCCGAATTTGTATTGTCACGCTTTCTTTCTTTGCGCCTGGATCATGTTCGTGTAAGAAATTAACCTCTACTGTGACAAGAGAGAGAGAGAGAGATAAAGATGCAAGGAAAGGCAGGGAGGTTAACCAGACGCACACCCGGTTTGCTACCCTGCACTGGGAAAGGGATAAAGGGGAGAAAAGAGGTTGCAGAAAGATGAGAAGGTACACACAATCACGAGCACAATCGGGGAGCACACACAGTTTACAGGCGGTCGCTCAGGTTTGTTGACTTAAGGTAAAGTAGCAGTTCTTTAGTTGCTTTCTGCGCAACTGAGGCAGATGCCCAAGGTCCTAGTATCTTCTGCACACAAAATGGTACGGGGTCAAGTCGATTCAAAACCATCCGTAGCTGGCATCGCTGCGTGTCGTAGCAAGCGCAGCTGCAGAGGACGTGTTCGATGGTCTCTTCATCTCCGCAGTAATCGCATGTAGGAGTGTCTGCCATACCAATGCGAAAGGAGTACACCTTTGTGAATGCAACACACAACCAAAGGCGGCATAACAGTGGCGCATCGGAGCGGGAAAGTTGTGATGGTAGCTTTAGCTTGAGCGAAGGATCCAGTTCATAAAATTGACACCTTTGGAAGCTTGTAAACGACCAGAACGTGCGTGTGAGATCTCGAGCCAGCAGGTAAAGTTGTCTTGCTGCATCATTCTTTGATAGAAGAATCGGAACTACACGGGTTTCTTCATGGGCTGAGTGGGCTGCATCATCGGCTAATTGATTTCCGGTAATACCGATATGTCCAGGCAGCCATTGATATATAATATCATGCCCTCGTGCTAGAGCTTCATGATGGCAATGTCTTACTTTTCGTACCAGTTGATCATGGCTCCTCCTACGAATGGCAGACTGCAAACTCTGAAGCGCTGCCTTCGAATCACAGAATATGACCCATTTTCCTGGACGTTCTTGAACGAGATATTGTAAAGCAGCCCTTATAGCAGCAAGCTCTGATGCCGTAGATGTAGTCATATGCGAGAACTTAAACTTGATTGTCATTTCTGCAGCCGGAATTACAGCAGCACCTGATGAGCTGCTGGATGAGACGGAACCATCAGTGTATATCGGCGTTCGGTCTAAGTACAACTCATGTAATAATAGCAGTGTTGCTTGCTTCAATGCTACTTTGGAGTGACTGCTTTTCTTTTTGATTCCCGGAATTTCTAGACGTACTTGCGGCTGGTCGAGGCACCAGAAAGGACATGCCGTTCTCGCAGCTGGCGTATATCCTGATGGAATGCTGTTTAGGTGCTTGGCTATGACGTCTGAAAACGTAGCACGTGGTCTTCCGGAAGGTAGAAGGGCCAAGTGGTGGTCGGGGACACAGCTAGCATGTCGAATGTGCGCTCTGAGGCAATCCACAACTATATATGTCCTGACCGGAAAGTCTTTGGCAAGAGATTGTGGCATAAGTAGAAGCGCATCGGGGCAGTCCTAGGCAGATACGCAGTGCCTGACCCTGCAAACTCTCCAATTATTGAGTATTCGATTTGCAAATGTTAGTTAGTACCTGCAAGCTGTAGCGCAATAGACCCAGAAATAGGGCCCTGTACAGCTGTAGCATGGAGGCCACAGAAGTTCCCCATGCTTTACAGCACAAGAATTTCATGATATGCACAATAGATAGCAGTCTCTTCTTCAAGTACGCACAATGTGGGCTCCACGAAAGACTTCTGTCGATTATTATGGCCAGGAAACGATGCGTCCGTGCATATTTGACACTCTGCCCATTGATGTAAACAGGGTATGACGTCATTGGTTTGCGTGTAAACGCCATCAACGCGCACTTAACAGTTGATATATTTAGGCTTTGTTTCTGAAGGTAGGCTGTTGTGAGGGTTGCTGCCCGCTGTATTCGTGCACGCACCTGAGGGCGAGTAACTGCAGCACTCCAGAGGCAAATATCATCGGCGTATATGGATAGGCACACCGACTTTGGCAGAACCTTCACCAGACCAATGAGGGCCACATTGAACAATGTGGGGCTTAAAACACCTCTCTGAGGTACTCCGCAGTAGGTGTAATGTTGGGCAGTTGTACCCTCATATGTTTGTACAAAGAAACCCCTGCCAGTTATATAATCTTTTATCCATTGAAACATTCGTCCACCAATGCCCATTGCTGCGAGAGAAGTGAGGATGGCATCGTGAGCTACATTATCATATGCACCCTTCACGTCAAGAAAGAGTGCCACTGATATGCGCTTGCGACTTTTTTCTTGTTGAACAAATGTCGATAAATCAAGGACACAGTCAATGGAGGAGCGGCCTCTACGAAAGCCTGCCTTGCAAGAAGGGTATTTGGTGTATCGTTCCAAGTACCACTCGAGACGAAATACAACCATTCTTTCCATTACTTTTCCGAGGCAGCTTGCGACGGCAATAGGGCGATACGCTGTCAAGTCCGATGGGGATTTTCCCGATTTCAAAAGTGATATAATTCGACTTATTTTCCATTCTCGGGGAACGCTGCCGCTGAGCCAGGAGTTGTTGAAGCATGTTAAAAGTTCTTTTCTAGCTTTTTGTCCAAGGTGTCCCAACGCACTATAAGTAATACCATCAGGACCTGGCGATTACATGCGCTTAGAAGCGACTAACGCACCTTCCAGTTCTTGCATGGTGAAAGGAATGTATATTTCTGGTAATCGCGTCCCAGGAACGATCATAGCGTCAATGCTCTCGTTCATAATATTCCCGGCAACTCTCGTGCAAAATTCTTCAGCCATCTCGAGATCTGTTTTTCCATGATGGAGTGCCAAAGCTTTAAAAGGGTGCCGTTGTTGTGGAGAGGAGCGAAGACTACGAACTGTTCTCCAGATATATGACAGCGGTTTATGAGGGTCTAGAGATTCGCAGAATGCTTTCCAGCGTTCACTCTCCAGTTTGTAAATGCGTCGTTGAATCTTCTTCTGGAGCCGCCTTGCTTCCCTCAGATCGTAAATTGATCTTTTGCGTCTGTATCGTCGTTCAGCACGCCTTCGTATAGCTCGTAATTTTTCCAGTTCGATGTCAAACTGTGTTACTTTAGACGAAAATGGTAATTTACATTTGGACGCTTGCATAGCTTCAACTATGGTATTTTCCAGGCTGCAGGCGAGGCATTCTTGGCAAGCGTTCTCAACACGCGATGCAAACATTTACCAGTCAGTGCCAATTGCAACACCGGAAGCGAAATTTTTTATGATACCATCGATCGTCACGTAGGTGGGTATGTGATCACTTCCATGAGTCTCAATATCGCAAAACCACTTAACTTTGTGAGAGAAGCACCGTGACACCAATGTCAGGTCAAGGCAACCGCCATACGTGAGACCCCGCAGATATGTGGGGGTACCATCGTTCATGATGGAAAGGTCGTAATCGGAAGCGAATGTAACAATGTTCCGGCCCCTGGCATTCATCCTAGTGCTCCCCCAAAGCATGTGATGGGCGTTGAAGTCACCGGTGATGATCCAAGGCCCATCGGTGCTCATTAGGATGTCTTTTAATCTGTCGCAGTCAAATCGCGATGACGGAGATATATATCCACCAATAAGCGTGAACGAAACTGCATTCTTCTTCACATGAAGACAGACGTACTGATTGTCGTCATTTGAACTTATTGGGTGCGAATTTTAAGTCAAGTCCTTGCGAATGTAAACAATTACTTTACTTTGTTCTTCGCAAGCGGCTGACCAAAAAGCTTCATAACCGGACAATCTATAAGGCGTTGATACGTTTGGTTCCCATATGACAAGTATAGGGAATTGATTGGCCCGAACAAATTGGCGAAAGCCCGAGATACGGGACTTCATGCCTCTGGCATTCCAATAAAAAATCGACGCACTTTTAACTTCAGTGCGGAAGATGAGATTTTGTTGAGCGATTGTGCTTATACGAAGTTAGCAAGAACTGGATTCAGCGCATCCAGTATTTGCAGTGCACTCTTAGCAGACGGAGATTGTATGCTGCTCAGTAGTGTGCGAATCGTGGCGATTAATGATTGCACGATTGCAGCCACTTGCCTGTCTTGGTTGGAAAAATCTCGAACCGGGATGATTGCAGTCACTTGCCTGTCTTGGTTGGAAAGATCTCGAACCGGGAGCGCGGACTGGCCGTCATAAAGCTCCTTCGGTTCGCTTGATGCTGCTTCCCTTTGAAGTGCACGCCACTCTGTCGCAGTTAGGGTATGCTCACTGGCTTTGTCCTTTACAGCCTTACCCACGGCATGTGGTCTGGGAGGCAAAAGAGGTGGTACTGATGAGGGATCACGCAAACGTGTCGAGGAGGTAGCGGGTGTCCTCGAAGACCGACGTCGACGTGAACGACGCCTTCTGACTTTAGCTGCGGCTTCTCGATGAGATGAGTGATCGCGCACCATCTCCTTCAAGATGGCAATTTCCTTCTGAATCCGCGGGCAGTCCTTTGATATGGCTTCATGGGATCCATTGCAGTTAGAGCATTTCTTGACAGTTGCGACGCACTTATTCGCTTCATGGTGCTCGGCGCAGCGGTGGCATACCACCGAATTCTCGCAGATGCTGCTCACATGTCCAAGTTTCATGCATTTACGGCACTGGAGAGGCTTTGGAATGAAAGGCCGCACAGCATGTCTGAAGTACCCCACCTTCACATGAGAGGGGAGTGATGTGCTCTTAAACGCAATCTTCACACAGCGAGACTTGCCTAGCCGGGTGACATCAACAATTGGAGTATCAGTTGTTGACTTGACAAGAAGTTGTAAGTCCTTATTGGAAATAGCGACATCAATGTCGTAGATCACACCGGTTACTACATCACATCCCAAGGGAACATGAGAGCGCAGCTGGTTGCCGTCCAAGTCAGTTACACTGCGCAGAACGCCCAACGCACTTGCGTGCAAAACGTCCACAGCCAGTATATTCTTTCTGGCGTTCACTCTTATGTGCGTGATCTCATTTGGCACGAGCGTTTCCAGAGACCTCGACACAGACTGTCTATTAAGGCGTTTCATGCTGACGGTAGGAAGTGCAGGCAGAAACAGGATGGTATAAGTGTTCGATTTTGGCGCTTCACTTACAGTTTGAATAGTTGAGGATGAGGATGTCCTCATGTTCCTTCTCTTTGCCTTGCGGCTCAGCACAGGTTGGAAACCGTCATCTGAGAAGTCCTCACGGCTAAGATAGTAAGCATAAGTATCTTCACTGTCGCTGTCGCTCGCTTGTCCCATTCGCTTCCTGGAGGCGGTCGCCGCTGACGCCGCTGGTGCCGGCAGGCGCCCGGGGTGGTCTACTTCCATCCCCTCCAAGGGAGCAGCGGAAACTGATCAACAGACTTAAATTACAACTGAAATACGCTGGAGTTAGCAGAAGTAGCTCCTATTCAAAACACACTTCTTCGTCTTCATCTCTACTGTGACAAATGCACTATTTGTCCTGCCGTTATTTATACTTACATTAGCGGGTATGAGGTAACCTGACATTACGACATCATGGTTGATTTTCCTGTTCACTCCTGGTACGATGGGGTGAAACCTAAAAACAAAACAAAACGTAAAAGTGATTTGCATAACACTCAATAATAAAAAGAAGTGTCCTTTCAGTTTCACAAAAATATTCAAAGTAAGGTGACCTAAACATGGTGTTTTTTGCAGTTAAACTGTTTGCTATACAACTTGTTGTGGCTGTTAGGCAGATATACTCATAACTTTGATCAAGGTTGCGAAACTATAAGCGAGCGTACCAATCGGTGTACATAATGGTCAACATGCAGAATTTGCCGCAACCTTAGGAGTTAGGGCTTGCCAGGAACGCCACCTCAGCCGATTTATATGCATTCATATGAAACGCTGTGGCAGATCTCATCGACGACGTAACAAATAATTATGGCCTACAGGGTACCATATACATAGCCCACTCGCCTTACGGGTACCAGATAGGGTACCATATAGGGTACCTAGTATATATAGACCACTACCCTTACGCCATGGAGCTACTCAATTTCACTAAATACTATGCCTCCAGTTACATATCGTACGTTTCTTACCCCATATTTTCGCCATCTAATACACCCTGCGATATATATCTTGCATTTATTCGTTTTCTGCTAACAAAGGAATGATAGAGTGAGTCAAACAAGCTTATTTTTGAACCGGCACAAAGGGGGAAGAGGGAGGAAAATTGAAGGAAGACTCTAGCGTGCTTGGACGTCCCGGAGCAGCATCGTGCTCACATGAAGCCACTGGCCAATCAAACAAAGGGCTAATCTAGATCGTATAATGTAGACCACCACCTAACTCTCTACACAATAAAAGTAAAAATAGTGGGAGTCTGCTATGTGCAGCTCGGCGCCAGAGGTCCAGGGCCAGATGCTGAATTGGACTAAGAGGATAGCGAAGACCTACGTTTTGTAGGCTCCTCTGCTGCCTACACCACCGCACCTTTCCCTCTTAAAATAAATGAAGTTTTACCCTTCTCCTTATCTATCAACGAAGGTCTCTAGTTGTTCTTTGAGGTGATTTCTTTGTGTATAGTAACTACTCACTTGGACGGTAAGTTCGCCAATGAGTGTCATCACTTCCCTCACACTTGATAGACGAAGAAAGTTCCTCTGTAGGTATTGGCCACAAACGGAGCATTATGTCGTTGTTACATAGTATACTAAACACTGCCACGGCCATGGTAATGCGAAGACCATCGAGGGTCTCCAACGTGCGACGATTTCATGGAAAGTTATGCCTGCAAACTCTGTGATGATCGACGCTTGTTCAGTTGTAATGTGCGTTGATTGAGATGAATCGTTCAATTTTTCAGCTTCCACCCTATCTTTCTCAAGTCTTTTCTCTTTTCGTGAGTGCGTGTCATGTGGCAAGTGTGAAGCCCGGTAGGCAGGAGAAGAAGCTGAACCTTGCCGAGAGTTATGAGAGAGGCTCGTTGAGGTGCAGAGCGTCTTACGCTCGTTGCTATGTGGAGGGGGCATGAAAGCAACGACGCCTCACCAAAGAAGCGAAGAAGGCATGTCATGGAAAGCAGCCACATTTGCGATGATGCTCGCTTTCCAGCGCAGCCATCCTTGTAATACGCTCTTGGGTGAGCGGTCGAGTGGAAGGTGCCATGGTTGCACCAAGATGCTACCATAGAATTACAGAGTGGTCGCTACAGCTCATTGGTCATCGTAAGAAACCAACATATCTTAATGGGAAGAACAAAAAATGCTAAGTGTGTACTGCCAAGACTTAAGGGCGAAATGTAATGCCTCACGAATGACGCTACAGCCATCGCTATGGTACAATAAAGTCCTGTAACTAACACAGAGCTAAGGTAGAGCCCCAACTACAGAATAGAAATGAACTAACAACAAAAAGAAACTTAGAAAAGGCAAGAATTGCAAAACAGAGAAATGCCTTAGCCTGGTTAAATGGCACATGAACTTCCCTATTTCAACAAGAGAGAGAAACGAGAAAAATAGGAAGGCAGGAAGGTTAACCAGATGCTAGTATCCGGTATGCTACCCTACACTAGGGTTGGGGAATAGGGGATTGAAAGAGAAAGGGAGAGTTAAAAATAAATAAGAGAAAAACACAGACACACAAGCACAAACAAAATCAGTCCACTCAGAGGCGTTCCGACAGGCCAGTAGTTCGCAAGAAGCCCAGTATCGCTGGCACTGCTTTTTTCTTTGACGATGAGTCATGACGATGGCGCAGTATACTTTCTTCGGAAATCGGCTGGTCATCTAACCTGTTTAGTATATTAGAAAGCTGTTGTCTTTTCAGGTTGCATTTCGGGCAGTCACACAGAATATGTCGAATGGTTTCTTCTTCCCTGCAGTGTGCACAGTCGGCAGTGTCAGCCATACCTATGCGGAACGCGTACGCACGGGTAAACGTGACTCCCAACCATAGTCACAGAGTAGTAGCGTCGCCTCGTCGAAATTTTGTTAGAAGCTGTATGCTTAACGTTTGATCAAGGGATCGTAATCTTGCATGCGCAAAGAGAGGCTCATTCCAAAGAGCCATGGAGCGTTAGCGAGCGAGCATGCGGAGCCTCCTAGCAGCGTCCGTCCTTGAGAGAGGTATTGACTGGTTGTTGTCTTCTGTATGGGCTGAACGGGCAGCTCGATCAGCTCGTTCGTTACCGATAATTCCACAGTGGCTTGGCAACCACTGAAATATAACGTGGTGCCCTTTCTCTGTTATATGGTGTAGCATTTCTGCTGTTTCAAATACCAACTGCTCGTGCGGACCACGGCGTAGATTTGACAGAAGTAACTGCAGTGCCGCCTTGCAGTCGCAGAAAATCGTCCACCATTGCGTGCTTTGGCGTTAATGAAACACAGCGCAGCGCGAAGCGCTGCAAGATCTGCTGCTGTTGTTGTGGTTGTATGAGCTGTCCTGAATTTGATGGTTGTGGCGTGCGTTGGAATAACGACTGCCGCAGTTGAGCTGTTTGGCAGAACGGAGCCGTCGGTGTAGACGTGGGTGCAGTCTTGGTACTTCTCGTACAGCAGACGTGAGGCGAGCTGCTTGAGGCCTGGTATTGAGAAGTCTCGTTTTCTCTGGATGCCTGGTATTGTCAGGTTGATGACTGGCTGTTTGAGGCACAATGGAGGAAGTGAAGGTCTCGCCGTGGGCGTAAAACCAGTTGGTAGAGAGTCATCATGTGCAGTTATTGTTCGACAAAAGGAAGTATGAGGTCTATCCGCTTCTAGAGAGGCTAAGTGGTGATGGGGAGTCCGGCCCACATGCCTTATGTGTGTCCTCAAAGCTTCAATTTCAATATGGGTCTGCACGAGGTGGTCGTTTGCTATAGCTATAGTCGCCATTGTTGAGGCACCCTGAGGCAGACCTAGACATATTCGAAGCGCTTGTGCCTGAACGCTTTGTATCATGCGTCAATTTGTTTTGCTGGCGTTTGATAATGCAGGCAGACTGTATCGTAAAAAGCCAAAGAAAAGCACCCTGTACAGTCGTAACATAGCATTAGGCTGCATTCCCCAAGTCTTTCCAGCGAGAAACTTGAAAAGATGGCATATGCCTGTCAATTGCTTCTTCAAATACGACACATGAGGGCTCCATGATATGTCTCTGTCGACAATTACACCCAGAAATTTGTGAGATCGACGATATGGTATATTTTGGCTGTTAATTGACACTCTGTAATTCGACATGGGTTTGTGCGTAAATGCCAGAAGAGCGCACTTTCCGGAGGAAGTTTCCAGGCCTCGATTGCGTAACTATAAAGCAGTTGCAGTAGCAGCTCCCTGTATTCTCGCTCGTAACTGCAGGCGAGTTACCGCAAATGTCCAGATGCAGCTGTCATCAGCTTATGTTGATAGATAAATATTGTTTGGTAGGTGCGTATGGAGAGCTATTACTGTTATATTGAATAGCACGGGGCTCATTGCACCACCCTGAGGAACGCCACGACAACTGAACTGTGCAGACGTGTTCCCGGTTCATACTCATAAAATAGGGTCGCATTTGGAGATAACTGCGTATCCACTTAAACATTCGGCCACCCACTCCAATCTCTTCTAGTGCGGTAAGGACGGCTTCATGTGTAACGCTATCATGGGCTCAGAGAGGCACAAAGACACTTATGGCCTTTCTCGTGTTTAACGTACGTGATTAGGTCGATGACGCTATCGATCGATGATCGACCACGCCGAAACCCAGCCATGGCATTTGGGTATATCTCATGATACTCCAAGTGCCACTCGAGTCAGCCGAGAATCATTTTTCCATCACTTTACCCACGCAACTAGCCAATGCGATCGGGCGATAGGAGGAGAGTTCCAATGGTGATTTGCCAGGTTTTAGCAGTGGCACTAGACGACTAGTTTTCATACTTAAGGGGAAAGTGCCCTCTAGCCAACAATAATTATATAGCTGAAGTAGAGCTATTCTCGCGCGCTCCCCCACACGACACAGGGCTCTGTAGGAGATTCCTTCAGGTCCTGGTGCGGAGGTACGTTTGCATGAAGCGAGTGCTGCCTTGAGTTCTTGAATGATGAACGGGAAGTCCATACAGGAATGACGTGGTGGCGGACAGCTGCTCGAAAGTGGTGAGCTGCTAAGTGCTGTAGTTTGCCCTGATAATCCGGCACAGAAATCTTCAGCAAGGTGCATATCTGGTCGATTTTCGTGAAGGGCTAAAGCCTTGAATGGTGACTTCTGAATGCTGGATGACCGCAAACCTCTAACCGTCCTCCATATCTGCGATAAAGGTTTACGAGGGTCGAGTGACTCGCAGAAAGTAATCCAGCGTTGGAATTCTAGCTTGTCCAACTGACGTTTGATATTCTTCTGCATACGTCTAGCAGTCCGTAAATCTTCTATGTCCTTCGTGCGCCGGTATACCTTCTTTCAGCTCAACGTCGGAAGGCTCGAAGCCGCTCCAGCTTAATGTCGATGTTCATGATTCTTACAGGGCATGGGATCGTCACGCAGTCTCCTTTACAGTGCTCTTGATGGCCTCTTGTAAATCGGATATGTGTGGTTGGCATTGGTCTTCCATACGAGACTGAAATGTTTTCCAGTCTACTCTTCTAACCATGTCGCGCACTTTAGGAGGCGAAAATCCTCTGATCTGGACGTATGTTGGATTGTGATCACTCCCATGCGTTTCTATATGCGTGAACCATTCAGTCTGTTTCACTAGGCTTCTTGAAACAAAAGCCAAGTCGAGACAACTACTGTATGTAGAGCCACGTAAAAATGTAGGACTGCCATCGTTCAGTAACAAAAGTTTGTTGTCGGAGGCAAAAGACACCAAGTTTCTGCCCTTCATGTTGGTATTCTGACTTCCCCATAATGTATGGTGAGCGTTAAAATCCCCAATGATAACAAACGGGTCAGGAGCTAACGCTACGATGTCTCTTTTTTTATCGAAACGGCTTGATAGTGATAGGTATGCGCCAACCACAGTGATGTTGAGCCTCCTATTTTTCACTTTTAAGCATACGTATTGGTTTCCGTCATGAGGTGATACAGGTTGAAGGATGTAAGTGAGGTCTCGGCGAATGTACACCAAAACCTTGCTGCCTTCAGTAACAGTAGACGACATAAAAGGTTCGTATCACGAGAGTCGTATTGCACTCTAAGTTCGGCTCACAAATGACAATTACGGGAAACATATTGATGTACACAAATCGACGAAAGTCACCAATGCGCGATCTCAGTCCCCTGGCATTCCACTGCAGTATTGCTGCTTTACGAACCTCATCCCTGAAAGACAGTGGTGGGTTAGCCATGGTCTACTCTAGGGCTGCTCGCACTGGGCTGAGCGCGTCCAGTACTTGAAGGGCACCTTTGACTGATGGTGTATTCATGTCGCTTAACAACACGTGAATGGTGTCCACTAATGATTTTAGCATCACCATCACGCGATGATCTGGCTTCCCGGCCATTGCAGCATCTTGTGCTTGTTCTTGAGGTGGCTTCTGTTTAGGCTCAACAGATCTTCTAGGCTGAAGGGGCGGCCATTTCTTTGGAGAGAAAGATCTCCCAGCATCTTCTCTTTCAGCGCAGATGTTTGCCGTGCTAGGAACCGCGCCTGTCGATTTCGCCTGAGTTTCTGACTTTCTCGTCAGATGTCGCACTGTTTTTTGTAAGGACCTTTTACGATGCCAGCGCCTTCGCCTTACTTTTTGCGCAGCTTCTCGTGAGCCGAGTTGTCTCGAACCATTTGCATCAGAATATAAATCTCTTTCTTAATCTGCGGACGGTCCTTGGAGGAAGCACTGTGAGCTCCTTGGCAGTTGGGGCAGTTCAACGTAGTTGCATTACAGTCGTCTTCTGAGTGGTGTTCAGCACATCGGGGGCACACTGCGGAATTTCTGAAAACGCCCTTCACATGGCCAATTTTCTGGCACTTGAAACACTGCATAGGCTTCGGAATAAATGGGCGTACCTGATGACGGAAATGGCCAACTTTCACGTAAGAGGAAAGACAGTCACCCTTGAATGTTATTCGCACAAAACGAGAGTAGCCTAGGTGACCAGCATGCACAATGACGTTGTTTTCACTCATTGGTTTTATCAGTACAGGAAAATCTTCATTGGCGATTTCAGTGTCTATGTCATAGATAACTCCTGTTACGGTGTCACCATTCGCTGGTATGATGGATCGGACTTTGATGTTTCTCAGCTCCAACACATGCTGTAGCGTGTTCAGTGCACTCGGGTTCCTCACTTTGATTGCCAAAATATTCTTCCTTGTGTTTACCTTGGTGTCCTTAATCTCGTTAGGCACAATGTTTTCAAGGTACAAGGACAGTGCTTGCCTGTTGAGGATGCATATATTGGTAGTAGTAGTCTGCGGCACAAACAGAATGGAGTGAGGCCATTGCTGAGGCGCTGTCCTCACAGTGGCTGTACTTGATGCCGATGATGTGTTCATGATTCTTCGTTTAGCCATGCGGTAAAGCACAGGTTCGAAGCCGTCTTCCGAGGACTCGTAGTCTGATGCAGAGTACAGCTCGGTGTCCTCGCTCTCACTACATGCATTACCACGCTTTCTTGAAGCAATGCCCGTGGATGAACTGGTACTGGGTGGGATCTCCCGGGATTGTACATTTATCACCGCGATGTAGGGGGCTGGAGACCCCACTGTTGCGCTGTGGAACGCAGAAAATACAGCACAGATCACGAGATGTGTTCCACAAGAGAATCACTTCGTCTTCCTTCACAATGCTTTCCTATTTCAACAACTTTAATGGAGTGGTGCTGGCTTAGCTTGCCTAAGTTCACACCCACCTCAGTGCTTCTTTGATGCAGGCTCTGACGTAATGTAGTTGATCATGAATATGTGCAGGGAACGTCCCAGGGCAGTCCTTTGTGGCAGCGAGAACTTCTTGCCGTGCTTTCTCTTGGGCTTCTAGGTTCATTGCTAATCGATATAAAGTGTAGGTGGCCGCACCGGACGTCTGCAATCAAGAATATAGAAAATAAGCTACTGTTAACCATATTCAACAGAACTTACTTAGGTAATTACTCATTGACGCCAAACGTCCCACCCATTTTGACGAGCACCTCAAATGTTTTAGACAAAAATCTTGCTAGTTTACTGTATTGAGAACAGTAAACTGCTAGAATATTTGAAACAGAAAAAAAAAGTCTTTGGTTACGTGGGTTCCTTATGAACTTCCCGAAATGTCATCTGGGTGCTGTTCGTGAGAAAAGAACTATTTTGAAAGTACCATTTTTTTGCATAGCAAATTTGGTTTACATGTTAAGTAAAGGTGTTTTGTAAGATTTTTGCGGCTGAGTGATACTTATGCAATTGTTTTGCCACAAGTACCTTGATGAACTTAGACGAAATGTTTTATTTTAGCAGTTTTTATATTTTAATACTGCACATTAGATGCATATTTTAGAAATGAATGCTTATTTGAACATAAGGCATATATTGCAAAAAGTACTTTAGACCTGTCAAAGTTCTAAACTTTACGAGATAAATTACATAAATTTCACAAAAACACCATAATTGTCCTTAGTCAGACGCAATTCGCACGATATGTTGGTCGAGTTCGAAGGTAGCTTTACACCAAACTCGGAAATAAATGAACAGTTGTTTTTACGTGGCTTGTTTTTTCATTACAGTTTTTGTTTTGGGAAATTAAATCATTTTTAGGTTTCTTATTTCCTATTTTCTATTTTTTGAAGTTTCCTATTTTCAACACGGAAGCTAGCATATGAACAAATTGTAAGATAACCGACAATGTAAAGCTTCGAAAATTGTTTTCTTCTTCACTCCTCGGCCTGCCGACCATTTCGTTTTCATACAAAAATAACAAGTGTTGCCTTTTCTGTATATCAGTGGTTATCAGTAATGAATTTTTCATGGACTTCTTGTATATCAAAAGAAGTGATGGGGGATGTATGTAAAAGAAAAAAGAGGGGTTTTCACAAACAAACACAAGATGAAGCGTGAGATCCGTGCCTTTCATTCATTCATGGCACGACATGAAACAAAAGATACTCGTTAATTCTATCTCAACAGGTAGTCAATAAGGTGTTTTGTCTAGCCACGTTCAACCTGTTTTCAGCCACGTTTGCGTTTCATATATGCTAGCATAAATAAAGCATACCCTCATGCATATGTTGTAGACAACTCACAAGAATTCTACAACCATTTCATAAAGGATGACGTTAGGTCAGCTCTGCCACAATGCCAAACGTAATGCCACGAAGCTCACCAAAAAATTCAAAAGGGCCATGTTTACGGGACAGTGGAACATAGTGAATAAAAAAATGTAGCGAAACTTAAAGAATCCACTTTTGAGAACAGCTGCTGAAAATTTGTCTTTGTGATACAATACGCTACATTGACGTTTACGTGCGTTTTGTGCAAAAGTTCATACTATGGTAACAGGTTTGTCCATTTCATTGCATATTTAGGTTTGTGAACAGCGCTAGGTCGAGCATTGTTCAATTTTTGTCTCGGTTTCATGTAGAAGGTTGTCTGAAATACAGCTTTTATAATAGTAGTCATTCTTTTAATTTAACACAAGGTTGAAAATATGATGTTGTCATGCACACCTTTTAATAATTTTTTTTGTGTAACCACTTCCTGGCAGAAGCTACACCTCATTGTCTCTGTGCCTTCAAGATTATTTCATAGTCTTTGGATGAGCTACAGAGCACAACGGGAACAGCGGTGTTTTTTTAAACTAACCCGGCCACTAATGACAACAATATAATCTTCTGTGTCACGAATGTAAAACTCCGAAACTCTTTACTGCTGATCTGATCGTTCAACAAACAACGAATGCCTGCGTCGATATCTTTGCACATTAAGAAGCTCCTAAACTACCCAGGCGTTGAAATTTCGTCGCAATATTGAGTTGTGTACGAATGTGCAATGAACGCGTAGCCGTGAGACTGTTTTGAAATGGTGCCGTACTGGCGGAATCACACGCGCCCATTGATCCAAACCTAGAGCTTGTCCGTTTAGCGCTTTGCTTCGCTACCACCCGTTCTTGGGCTCATTACTTCCAAAATTTGTTTTCCCCCTCGTCGAGTGCTCCTGATCTGACACGCAATCTCACTTGACATACCGTCATCGCTAACTGGCCCTTTGAAACAGCGTGTACTCACGGCAGCCGTGACTCTATCAACTCTGTGCTTCTTGGTTAACTACTGTAGTTGCAACAACGACCCGAGCTCTGGCGGATTTTGCCGGTGGACACCCTGTTGTGCGCTTGTTTTCAAACGGTCACCCATGTATGGCGACACGCCTTGCAGGAGCACACCCGCTCGAGGTGAGGGTTACCATCACCACATTCCCCAGATCACGGCCGACGATGCAGCTTGGTTCGTGGGGCAATTTTCGCCCGCTCGTAGCTACTCCCGCCTATGCAGGCGTACGTAAAGGGGCAAGAGGGCAGCCCCCTTGTAGCCACCTAAAAAAGGAGATGGAGTGCCAAGGCAGCCCTAAACATTGATTTCATTGGGAGGAGAGGCTGCGATGAATCTCCCCCTCGCCCCGAAGGGTTAACCTGCGCGCTCTTACCCGTACACCATGCTAAGATCATCATCAGTGCAAGTGAACGTGCTGATTCGCTAACTGCACACGCAGGCAACACGACGAAAGGTGTCTCTTTTGCAAGGGATCGGAATCAATAAATCATTTCTTTATATCCTGTCAAAGTTATGCTTATCAAAGGAAAAGATGCCTGGTCGAACCAATTGAGAAGCTAGGTTTAAAAATAAACGTGGAACTAATTTTATCCTTCGGAGGGATTACATTAGGTTATAGCCATAGGGAAGTTTTTTCTGCTGTGTGCTAGTACATAAGGGCAACAAAGAGATTACCCTGTTAGACTACTGTTATTATCTACGGCTACGAGACTACCTGAATGCCTGACTTAGCACACTTGATCATCCTGCCACATGGTTCTTGGCCGACCCCCCTTTGTGGGCGAGTGCCAGCAAAGCTGAAGGTTCATCATCATCATCAGGCAGCAACATTTGTGGGCAGCTACTTGCAGAATGACCCTAAATCGCAGGTTCATGTTGAACCGAAAGCAGCTTCACTTGCTGGCAGCATCACAGATTTTACACGCTGACGTCACGCAAGTCACTGGGGAAGCTGGAAAGGCCCGGACAAGTGAAGTGATTGTTTCTGAGATTTTGTGGTGCGTTCCTGGCTTGTAGCGCTGCCGTGTGTGATATCATAGATCGCAAAGGCATTTTTAACAAGATGCGCGTGTTTATTAAAATGTCTGAAAAAATATCGCAGGTGATTTGGGGCCTTTTCAGGGCCATAATTTTCTAGGCACATGTTTGCACAAATAAAAAAATTCATTTTTACCGGCTGTTTTTTCTTAGGTTGCCATAACAACCGAAGATCACGACATGCAACTCATGTACCTGGTGATTTACACGCCACGCTCATATTGCAATGACGGCTGATTCTGTAGCTTGACATACACCAAACTTGGTATTGCATGACGAGATTGTATGACCAATATAAATGACAAGAAGTAATATGAAAATCATGACATGTCACGTGCATTATATCTTGCACGCCACACTCATGGCACGCTTGCGGCTGTTTCTCTCGCTTGATATGCACTAATTTTGGCATTTCGCGATGACACTGTGTGAGGAAAATAAATTACAATTGGTGATATGAAAATAATGACGTGTCTTGTGCAACACGAGTAGCATATCGGGCTCATTATATGCTCATGACCGGTTCGCTTGCTTGACATGCACTAACTTTCGCATTCAGTGATGCGTCTGTACGAGCCGCATAAATGGCTGATCGTATATTACGATAATGTAATCAGTATCATGCACATGATTTACACGCCGCGCTTATAGTGTCCTCGCGGCCGTTTCACTAGCTTTATATACACCGAATCAGGTATTCAATGGCGTTATTCTATGAAGAACATCTATAGAAAAATGTCGTATCAAAATTACAGCATGTGCGATAATTTCATGCCACGCTCATGCCACGCTCGCGTTCATTTCACTAGCTTTTATACAAAATGTTCGGCACTGCATGACGTGACATTATGACGAACACAAATTACAAATGGTGATGGTATATCATGACACCTAAGGTACACCCCGACTGCTTTGCTACGCTCATGATGCACTTGAGTTCAGTTCGCTTGCTTCAAGCACACTAAAACTCGTACTGCATGGCGCGACATTACGAGGAACATAAGTGACCGGCGTTAACATAAAAACTATGGCATGCATGTCATGCGCAACATGATTTGCATGTCATAATTATGATGCGCTCGCGGCTGGTTCGCTGGCTTCATATATATCAAGACTAATATTGCATCACGTGACGGCATGACAAACATAATTGATAGGTTGTTACATGTGATTCTCGACGTGTACATTATGTATAACATGATTTGCTTGGATCCTTCGAATTTTATTCATTCCCACAGTGCCTTGGTCTCTTTTTTTATTCCGAAGATCTGTTTTGCAAAAGGCCGCAAGTCGCATCGCAGACCTACTTCGGGAAATGCTGATCTTCATTAATCCTGACGAACGCCTTTCTTATTTCAATGCCGGTGCAAACGCGCGTCTACGGGAGTTGTCGGTCCACCCTAATTCAGGGAGTGGTCATGATTCGGCGCTATATCAGGAGTCGCGCTGCTCGTGTCGCACGTGCGTCCGAGTGCTTTTCTCCGACAATGCGATAGGCGTGTTTCCCACACCAATGTCATATGCTGTCAGATTCGCTTTTTCATGCGCTTCTTTCTGACTCGCGACAATGGCGCCACCGCGTCACACAGCAGCGCATGCAGAAACGTTGCAGTGACTCTTGCCTATTCGTTGCCCGCATACCACCACCAACGGCGACACGCTATCTCAAAGCACCGTACAATTCACAGAGCCAGCGTGACTGCCAATATTCTGAACACGAGAAATGCAAGATGCCGCCTCGCGGATCTGTACACAGCTGAACAGAATGTTGGAGTGGGAGCCAAACAGCTGGATCTGGCGCATCTGGCTGGCATTCATAAAATAGAGCAGGCGTTGTCCTAAGTAAGCGTTTTATGAAACTCTTTCTTGAAGGAAACGTTGTAGTTGTGAAATACTCACTGATTAGCTACTGCGAGAATATGCATTATTTAATGATTGCATGAGCTCATTCATGACGTAAAAAAAGCGTTTGCAAAAATGAATATTTCATAACTAACAGAAAGAAGAAAAATAACCACCGATAAAAATGACTTACAGTATCCGTTCCGCCGACAACAAAATCGTGGAGGAAAGTAAACATTTCCTTGAAGTCCATTTTCTGCTGATTGTAGAGGTGCCGGAGGATTGTGCAGTTCTGACTGCTATCGTGCTTTGATTCGTCCTCTTCTGCAGCTTCCTTCAGCATGTGGAACATGCGCCTACAAATGAGAATAGTCTGTCAAGAAGTCATGATACCACTCAGTTTTTAAATATTTTCTTTTCACATAGTGTGAACAAAGGTAAAATTATTCGAGGTATCAAATAATTTTGAAATTTAATACTGAAGCTGGAGAAAATAGTTCAGTGCAGTAGAAGTTGACCTCTTTATTTTTTCAAGCACTGATAAAGAGTGAAAGTTTCACCGCAAGTACAAAGCAATGAATACGACAGGAAAGTATTGGAGAGAAAGAAGAAAAATAGGAAAAGTAGGGATACTATCTAGACTACGTCCGGCTTGCTACCCTGCGCATTTTGTGAGCACCGCGCAGCTGGTCACTGCGAAAGCTCGAAGAGCAGCCTTTCGGAGCTTTCTTTAAAGTCACTTCGGGCAGCTGCTACAAGCACACTTACAAATTACACACTGTGCCATTATTCGTACTTTCTGTGTAGTACAGAGGCATTCACTATGCCATCCTTCGTCATTCTACGGAAAAGCGTGATAACCACTACACACAAGGAGTTCTGTGCGCTTTTTTATGCTGCAGCTGACGATGATGAAGATTTATGCCTAAAGCGTTTGTAACGGGTTGGAGCGTTCAACAACCTACTCGTTCAACAACCTACGCCCTTGATTGCCTCTATGGTGCTTCCTACATTTCGTCCATCGATCTTCGTTCTGGTTATTGGCAGATTGCTATGGACCCCATGGACCGAGAGAAGACGGATTTTGTAACACCCGATGGCCTCTACAAATTCAAAGTCATGCCTTTCGGCTTATGTAATGCCCCCGCCACCTTCGAACAAGTGATGGACTCCCTGCTCCATGGATTCAAGTGGTCTACGTGTCTTTGTTATCTGGATGACGTGATTGTGTTTGCTCCCACTTTTGAAGCACACCTTGAGAGACTGTCAAAAATTCTTGATGTTTTCCGTCTCGCCGGCCTTCAGCTGAATCCATACAAGTGCCGGTTTGGTCGCCGTCGCGTTACAATATTTGGACATATTATTGACGCTTACGGCGTACAGCCTGACCCAAAAAAAGTTCGAGCTGTGAAGGACTTTCCTGTGCCAAAAACCGCCAAAGATGTCCGAAGCTTTGTAGGGCTCTGCTCCTATTTTCGGCGAATCATCAAGAACTTCGCGGAAATTGCTCGGCCCCTAACAGATTTCCTCAAACCAGATGAGACGTATACTTGGGGCCCCTCGCAAGCAGCAGCATTTTTCGACCTGACCACTTTGCTCACTTCTTCTCCTGTGCTGGCTCACTTCGACCCTACGGCACCGACCGAAGTGCGCACCGATGCCAGCGGTTACGGAATAGGCGCGGTGTTGGCTCAGCGACAACGTGGGCTGCATCGCCTGATAGCTTATGCCAGCAGGCTGCTGTCCACCTCGGAGCGTATTTATTCCATCACAGAGCGCGAATGCCTAGCGCTGGTGTGGGCAGTCGCGAAATTTGGCCCTTACTTATACGGCCGACCATTTATAGTTTTCACCGACTACCACGATCTCTGCTGGCTCGCCCCCCTCAAAGATCCCACAGGTCGTCTCGCCCGCTAGGCACTCCGCCTCCAGGAGCATTTTTACACCGTATTGTATAAATCAGGAAAACTGCACAAAGATGTGGATTGTCTGTCACGCTACCCTGTGGCCGACTGCGATCCTACGAGCACTGATTCTGTGGGCTGCGTCCTTTCCATCTCCCAGCTGCTTCATCTCGGGGACGAGCAGCGTCGCGATCCGGATATCAGCCGCCTAATACAACAGCTCGAATCTTCACCGCAAGACGCTTCTGTTCGCATGTTTACCTTAAAGGACCGCACAATATATCGGCGTAATTTATCACCCAATGGTCACGACCTACTTCTGGTCATACCAAAGCACCTGCGTTCCACAGTCCTACGCAAGCTCCATGACGCCCCAACCGCGGGTCACCTTGGTGTCTCTCGCACATATGACCGTGTGCGCCGCCGCTTCTACTGGCCTGGCCTTTCACGCTCTGTACGTCGCTATGTCAACGCTTGTGAAATTTGCCAGCGTCACAAAAAGCCGTCGGGACTACCTTCCGGATATCTTCAGCCCATCGACATCCCATCGGAGCCATTCTTTCGTGTTGGTTTGGACCTTCTCGGTCCCTTCCCAACATCCGCCTCCGGAAACAAGTGGGTCGTGGTGGCTACGGATTACGCGACCCGTTATGCAGTCACGTGAGCCATGCCAACAAGCTGCGCTACAGACGTCGCCGATTTTCTACTACGCGATCTCATTTTAGTGCATGGAGCCCCTCGTCAACTGCTGACAGGCCGAGGCCGTACGTTCCTTTCGAAAGTGGTTGACGATATCCTGCGTTCCTGCTCTACCCAACATAAGCTCACGACATCATACCACCCCCAGACAAACGGGCTTACAGAACGTTTAAACCGCACCCTGACAGACATGCTATCGAAATACGTCTCGGCCGACCATCGGGATTGGGACCTTGCACTACCCTACGTGACGTTCGCATACGATTCCTCCCGGCATGACACTGCTGGGTACTCGCCATTTTACCTTCTTTTTGGACGCGAACCAACATTGCCGTTGGATACCTTCCTGCCAGCCGCTGCGCAGTCTACTTCTGAATATGCACGCGACGCTATTACCCGAGCTGACCACGCTCGTCAGCTTGACCGCAGCAGATTAATGGCGTCCAAGACTCGCAGAAGCATCGTTACGACGAGCGGCATCTCGACGATCCCTTTCCAACAGGTTCCCTCGTTCTTCTTTGGTCCCCTACGCGACATGCAGGCTTTTCAGAAAAACTTTTCTCTCGTTTCACGGGCCCATACCTCGTGCTTAGACGAGTGACCGACAATACATATGAAATTGTCCCTGATAATCCATCAACCTTTTCCGCTCTGCTGTCAAGGGACATCTTCCACGTATCAAGGCTGAAGCGTTACCACACTGCTCCTGCTGTGGCCCCGTAAACTCGCCGGGTAGGCGCTTTGGCCACCGGGGGTCGTGTTACGTGAATTCGTCTGACTGAAAGAGGGCATAGTGGGGCATACCCAAGAAAGGTGCCTCATACTGAGAGTGAAGAAGTGGACGTTGTTGGTGAGCTGCGTTGTGGCTGCGGACTGACAACTGTTATTTTCCACGTAACAATATGCTCAGTATGAAAGTTTCAGGTTAAGTTCGTGGTAATGTGAATGCCAAGGTATTTGCAGGAAGCAACTGATTCTAATTGGATATCGTTAAGAGAATGTTGTGATGAGTTGATTTTAGTACGAGAAACACGCATTGTCTTGCATTTGTTAGTGTTGAGTTCCATTAGTCAAGTTTTCGACCAATTACCGACAGAGTTCAAATCACACTGCAAAGCGGTAGCGTCGTTATCAAAGGTTATTTCACAAAAAATAACATAGTCATCAGCAAACAAAAGAACATTAGATTTCAACAAAGAAGATTAGTCATTAATATAAATAAGAAACAAGAGGGGCCCAAGGACGGATCCATGCGGCACACCTGAATAAACAGGGCTAAATGGAGAGCAAGATTGATTAGCGACAACAAACTGCGAACGGTCAGTCAAAAAAATATTCAATGCAAGTCAACAAACTTCTGTAGATGTTTAATTGATTTAGTTTGTGAAGTAGTAGCCCGTGTGAAACCTTATCGAATGTCTTTGAAAAATCTAAAAATATGCAGCCAGCATGCGAAGACCTATCTAAAACTTGATTTAATTTGTGAGTAAAGTAAATTAGTTGGGTTTCACGGGAGTAAGACTTGCGAAAGCTGTGTTGGGCTGCTGCGAAAAACGAGTTGGATTCTAGATAGTCAACCAAATTACCGTAGATGACATGTTCTAGTATTTTGCAGCAGTTACTGGTTAGAGAAACGGGGCGATAATTACATGGAATATTTTTATTGCCGGACTTATAAACTGGAATCACCTTTCCTATTTTCCATTTCTTAGGAAGCCTATTCGTGGCCAACGATTGCTGAAATATTTTTGTTAATATGATAGAACAATAAACACCAGTGTTTTTCAAAAATTTTGTGCTTAGGTCATCAAAGCCTGGAGATCAGGAATTATATAGGTGAGTGATAAGTTTAAAGATACCGGAAACATCGATTTGTACTGAAGGCATAGCTGCGCAACTGAGTGCTTGAGTTGGAGGTTTCGCAACGGTAGACGCCGCGAAAAAGTTTTTTACGATTGTATCGTTGAGAAGCATAGCACAAAGATTGCTGGGAACTCCTTCACTAGATGTGTAGTTTAAGGTGATGGTGTCATCGAAGGAGGGTTTATGGTACACCAAAACTTTTTTAAGTCTGAAGAAAGCACAGACGGAAGCACATTAGATAAATAATTCTGTTTGGCGTTTTTTATAGCCAAAATATAATCATTGGAAGCAATCTTGGTATGGCATAACATGACTGTATGACGAGCATAGGTGGCTAGTCACATTAAAATCATGACATGTTTGCCATGAATGTCATGGTTTCCATGTAAAGGTCTAGCTGCCATTTCGGTGGTTTGGCTCACGTGATATATCGCAAATTTGATATGCTTTGACATGACTGCATGACAAACATAAGTTACAGACCCTAACGTGGCAATCATAACATGCATAATATGTGAGCCATGAATACACGTGCACTCACGATGTGCTCGCAGCCATTTTTCCACCTTCACATATACCAAATTTGGTATTCAGTGACATGAATGGACGACGAAGGTATATGACTGGTGCAAACCTAATAATCATGAGGAGCGTGTTATGTAAAAACACGACTAAATGCCACGCTCATGATGCCCTCGCACCTGTTTCGCTCACTTCACATATACCAAATTTGGTAATATGTGACGCGAACGGACAATGATGATAAATGACACGTTCAAACATGATAATCATGACAGCCGTGTCACGTAAGAATATGACAATATACTACGCTCATGATGCGCTCGCGGCTGTTTCTCTTTCTTCACATATACCAAATTTGGTATTATGGGACGTGAATGGACGACGGAGGTATATGCAAGCAAGATAATCATGAGATGCGTGTCGTGTAAGGACAGGACCAAATGCCACGTTAATGATCTACTCGCGGCAGTCTCTTTAGCTTCACACATATCAAATTTGGTATTATGTGACGCCATGAGATGGCGAAGGTAAACGACACGTCCAAGCATGATAAACATGGCATGCGGGTAATTTAAAACATGCAACGCTCATGCCGTGCTCGCTGCCGTTTCGATAGCTTCACATATACAAATGTTCATGTAAAAAGACGTGAATCGACGACGGAAGTCGATGACACGTCCAAAGATGATAATGATGACATGAAAGTTGCGTACGGCATAATATACATCCGCCTCATAACGTTGTGCATATTTTGAAGGGACAAATTAACCTTCCTCATTAGTGCTTCGCATATAATCGATTCTCCCTGTACGTGGGATCTGACAATTTTTTTGTGTGTATGGATTGAAGAATCGGAAGAAATGTTAGCGTTTTTAAAACCGAGAAGGAAAGGTTCTGGCGCTGGGCGTCGAAGCATCAACTTCTTGATCCACAGCGCACGGCACTAATCACTAGGCCACGAAGCCTACGTGGTTAACATTGCTGACGGTAAGCTATTTACGTAAACTATATGTCATTTGGTGGTCCTCAGAGTTCTGCAACTTAAGCGCGTTTGCTTCATCAGTAGCGAGATTGCATGAAGGGCTTGCGTTGCGTAGCGTTGGGCGCGCTGTCATGAGCACCGCCTCCACGAATTGTGGTCCCTCCTGCGCGCGGGCTTATCAGACTTGTGGTTCCGCAGAATGCGAAGGTCACTGCGCTCACTGCCGCGGCCACGTTTGCGAAAAGAGCACGCTGCTTGCACATGCAGTAAGAGTAGTGACAGTTGTTAGCACTTGTTCTGCGTAAAGTTGTGAATTCTTTTCATGTGTCTTCTTGTTTGAACAGCGCGCTTTAGGTGTCGAGCTGTGACCGTTGTAAATCCGCTCTCGTCCTGTGCAGGCTCATCAAGTGCGCGCTTTCTGCTCTAGGTGCGAGCCGTTAATTTCCAAGTTTTCGCCGTTATTCCCATGATTTCGCAATTAGTTGCTTCAACATTTATTTCTTCGTCATTGTGGGCTAAGAAATGAATGAACTATCTCTGTAAAGACAATTTTTATTTTATTGTTATCAGATTTCTAAAAAGAGCAACCAGCCTTGTTTTCTGCGTGATCTCAGTCCGATGCGAGATATTTGATGCGTCACTACACAAACGAATCACTCGTGGAAATGCCAATAGGTTAAAAGTGTCGGTTTCAGCGTATAAGCAGGATACGCTAATGTACATACGTTGTAGGTATGAAGTTCGATCTGCTAGGTTAAGGTAAACAAATGACATCTTTCTGTTGTCAGTGAGCCTGTGGAAATGATATTAAAAGAAATGTGACAACTAGACTTTATAGATCTCAGTACAAGCCCTTGTTTAATCTGTGTTATGCTAGATGGGTAGCTGTAATTAGGCTTAATGAATTGACTTGCTTTTTTCAATAGATTTTAACATGTTTATCAGGTATTGCTGATACGAATATTTATTTAGTTGCCAAATGGTCTAGAAGAACCTGATAATGCTTCGGAATAAAATAAGTATGTTTATGTATACGGAGGAAGTGCTATGTATTACGGTGCAGAAAGCCGCGTGACTTTGGCGCTTTAGATGTTAGCACACATGGAAGTAATATGCGTTAAGCAGAAAAGTTGGGGCGTTAGGTTTATGTCTCGGTACTTGTAATGCTGAGCGTGTTTTACAATGTTCTTAATGGTTTTGTAAGGGGCAATAGAATATATTAATTAGATACGCTTGTTCATGTTAATGTTCATATATAAGTACACCCTGCCTGCTTTGGGCCAGCAACCTCGGCCTGCAGTATTATTAAATAAACAAATAAAATAAATTATACTGCACGTGGTTCTTTTGCACAAGGAAATATTCCATGTCATCTGCCAGGTCTTGCACTACTCAACCATACGTTAAAAACCTTATTGAAACGCAACCTTCACACGCTCACACTTACTGCTCACACTTCCTCTTTTTTTCAACCGGACTCATTCGGACTTAGACTCACCAAAATTTTTATTCGCCTGGGCGAGCTCAGACTCGACTCATGACTTGATCTGAGTATGCGTGAGTCTGAGTGACCTGAAAGAAGAGAGAATTTGCCGACCTATGGATGAGGCAGGTCATCAATGTGGATGAGAAAAAGTAAAGCGTCGAGAGCATTGCCTTGTGAGACACCATTGGAAACACAACAAAGTGATGATGTGTAATAATTTGCTATGTTAAGGTGCTGCCAGTCCATCAGGGCGTTTCAGAGCTATGTTAGCGCAAGTGAAATGAGTTTTAGTGATGCTTTTATAACAGTTTCCAGCACGATGGTACCCCAAAGTCACCTATTTTTCTTCATTTTCTTTCTTGTTCAAACATATGAGCTCAGCTTGTCGGGCTTTAAATGTCGCATATTTTAAAGCTTTTCGGCAATCCCACTCAGGTCGTGCTACTTCGTCTGGGCTTGAATTGGACATGTTACACTTGCCTTCTTCCAGCTGTCTTCGTACTCAAAGCTCGCTATACAATGAACCCAAGGTTTATTTAAAGATATATAGGTATATGCTGCTGTTCATAGGTTGATGGTGCAGGAAAAGATGTTATATGAGTAACTAACGCTAAGGACAGTAGAATTGTACTTTCACTAAATGTGGCTAGTAGACCCTTAAAGTGGTGGTCATTTACAATAACCACCTCATTTCTTTTGAACTTAAATTGCCAATTTTTAGTTCATGAAAAGAAATCATTCGCTGCAAAAGATTTCAACATTATTTCCAATTAAACTATGTTTCCGGCCAAGAATGCAGTTCTGTGTATGAAAAAAGTTAAAATAAAGTGACAATGAGCAAAATGATAAAAGCCAATCTCTATTTTTGCATCGCCTTATGGGTGAACCTGTGACTTTTCACCAAATATTTGAAATTTAACAATCACCAAGGTCCCATATATATATATTATAGGCAGCTAGACCACCCTGTCGTGCGTTGACTTTATTTACCCGTCCACGCCATCTGCGAGAATCCGTAAGATGGTTCAGTGTCTCTGCGCAAACTAATAAAACTCTCAGAGGGTGCATTCGATGAACCTAGTGGGTCACAATTGAGTTATCACAGCCTCTTAAGCAGCCTGCACTGGTTGGACTGTGAGAGTGCTGCGAACGCCTCGTAGCTAATGCATACTTGTATGAAGCTGCTGAAGAGATTTAGCGCATATTTTCTGCAGATGGGTTGGCCTCGGTGGAATAGAGTCTATGTTTTTCGGCTGCTGACCTGAAGGAAGTGAGTTCAATCGTGGTCCTGACAGTCGCATTTTGGTGGACGCAAAATGTTAGAGGTCCACCTACTCTCCGATGTCAGCACACGGTAGAGAACACCAGATGATCAAACTATCTGGAGTTCTCCCCTACAGCGTATCTCATAATCAAGTCGGCGTTTCGGGACGTGAAGCCCTAGGTATTATGCCTATTATTTCTCCAGATGGCTAAGGCGAAGAAGACACGCTAGCACAAATTACCTTTGTGGAAAACGATGAATACAGGCGCTGTGTTTGTCTCCGTTGTCTCGTCCCATCTCGAAAAAATCGCGCAAAATAACTTCATGTACGTCATACCAACAAGACGAGAAGCCGGGCCTGTATGATAACCATTATGTTCTGTTCAGTGCACTTCCTAATAATCTCGAGGAAAATGTGACTCTCAACTTTTTTCCCACTCATTATTCTAGCACACTCCCGTGCACGCACACGTTTCGTGAGAGTATACTTACGAGACTAGGTAATCGCCGGCTTGTTGGAACCTCCTGATGGTGGGTGTAGTAAAATAGCGGTAGTAAGGAAATCTTGTCACGAGTTCATCCATGCAAGAAAATAGTGTAAAAATTCCATTCAATATGCCAGCTGCGTCTGATTGAGGTGGCAAAGGATTAACGAGCAGACCCAGTCTCCTGTCCATCGAGACAAACATGACGGCTGCAGAAAAAGAAAGAAAACAACACTGTTAATGTGCTCGTTCTCTGCCTCATACTCCTACATACGTATAGCGTATAGGATGTATCTCACCCAATGTAACTTTTTACTCTAAGTTATATACACTGAATATTGTGTGGCATATACCCGGCAATAGTGACTTTAGTTTCATTGAGATCGGTTTTGTTGACAGCGAGATATGAGTTATTTGAAAGTTTCAGATGCAATTGTTTTCAAAATATAACTATTTTACTGTTAATTTCTTTTTACCACGAAAGTGTTGAATGCCGAGTCCACCACAGCTTCATTGACGTATTTCCGTCACGGAAATGACATTGTAAAATATTTATTACCAGATTGAAAAGCAAAAAAAAAAGTCACAGCTTTGCCGCAAAAGCGAAGCAATGAACACAACAGCAACAAGTTGGAAGGTCACGCAGAGAATAGCAAGCAGATCGAAAGGTGTCCCGCATTTCTCCCGCAGAAATGATGCGCAAAACGTACTCACCAATAAGGATGAACGCGAATAAGCGTCTCAGTTGCTACTTTGCTGTGTCTGAAAAGCGCGCCTTTTCCGCAAACGGACGCTGTGCAACGATCGTATTGACTATTGTGTACCCAGTAACCACAACAGAATCATTTCTACGAAATTAAAAGTCTAGTCAAGACGTACTATTCGCCCCACTGCAAGATAAGGGCGCGTGATCAAACGTACACGCCCTTTTTCTTTATGCGGGCCAAAGTACCCGTGAGAAATGAGAGCGGCCACGCTCTCTGCGCCATCTTGCTGATAATGATGAAAACACGATAGTTCCCTCCGAGATGCCCACCAAAAGCGGTAAGTGGTATATATGAATAGCTTGCTGTTTGAACGGTGAAGATGTGCCTCTTGGTAGCTCAGTGGTTGACGCCATGCATTTACGACGCGGAGGTCCCACGTTCAATTCCACGCACCGGGGTGTTTTTTTTTCAGGAAATTTTTGTTTTATTTCTTGCGGTTTCATTTACTTAGATTTGTATACATATACAGTGCATGAAATCGACGCTGATGTCCACATCAATGCCCATGCTGACGTCAGCGGCAAAATTTAGCCTAGAGTGTCCATATAAATTTCTATCGCAATAAAAACGACGAGTACAAAAAAGTCTCTAGCAGGGTGTCGAAGCATTGAACTCTCACCTCGCCGCGTGCGATGAAACCCACCTGACCACAAACCGCAAGTTACCCTATTACTAACTGCGAACCATTTATATAGAACGTGCGCTGTTGGCGGTCCTCAGAGCACGAGAACTTGAGCACGCGTGAGCAAGCCATCTCGCGCTAGTTGATGACTATTGGCCTATGTGAACGCCTTTAACTTTTGTGTAATGCCACCACTGCATAAGCGTTATCCTATGTACTGACAATTTTATCATCTCTCTCCCTTCTCTTTTCTCTGTCTCTCATCTTCACACTTCCCGTTCTCTCAGCGCAGGGTAGCAAACCGGGCATGTGCCTGCTTTACCTCCCTCCCTTCTCTCTTGTTGTTTTTGTCCTTGTGCCCCCAAGACATTACCTAGTGTGCATTTTCAGCATACTTCGTCTCTCACTAATTCGCATAGAAACCCCGATACCTGTGGACATTTGCGAAATCTTTGTAATCAAACCAGTGCCTTTCAGGTGTGCAGCCAATTGTGATCGCCACTGAGCCAGCGAAGCGATTGAGATGGGTGAATGAAATATTCACTAGAAAGAGAATATCGCTATCACGTTCAACACTTATATATGAAGCTGTAGGGTCCCCCAATTTTTTTCCTCTGACTTTTGTTGCGCTTTGTTGCTTTGACAAAAGAGTGATATTCCTGCTCGGTTGGCTGCCGCTGTCACTTCAACAAACCCAAAGCTCATTCAAAGCAAAAAGCGTAATACTGTCAACTTATCTCTTCCCGCACCGCGGAAAGCAGCCGCAAAAATTTTACATGTTCCTGTCCACAGCAAAAAGTTCAATTATTCTCTTGTGTTAGCTTAAACATTTCCTGTGTCTGCCGACCGATTTTGCAGGCCCATTTTGACAATACGGAATTGCCTTATTGCAGTTCAGTATTTTGTTGGTTATGATCAGATATCGTTACTTTGTTTATAAACATTTAATGTTGAAATAAAGCATGATGGGTATTTTTGTTAAAAACCAAATTTGTCATAGTGTCCCGAACGATACTTCGTGCTTTGAAGGTTAAAAAGGCAGAATGTTCAACAAGGTAGTAGAAAAGTGTCACAGAAAAGCATTCCCAGATAAGTAAAAGTAAGTATGAAATAAACATAACAAACAGAAACGCCTTTGCATTGTCTGTTTATTGAGAGCACTCCTGCATGCCTACATCCTTTATAATAACGTACTGTAAGTACAGTTTCATGCAAGCAAACAGGTGCATTTTTGAAAAGGGAACCTAGCCACTGAGCTTCTAATGACGGCATTGAAGCCGTTCAAACTTTCCTGAATCCACTTTTAACATATGGAGCGGCCGCCCGTAAGCGCTTAGTTTATTTTTTTTAATTCAATGTACGGTCATGTTCTGTGGAATTTCAGTAAATTGAGAGCAATACTGTAGCAGAATACACTTACACTCCAATGCCCATCTCTGCATGATTTTGTAGCAATCTGATACGTCTCCATTTTCATCGCGGTCCCTGGCGATTAGTTCCACGGCATCTTCGGCAATATGTCCCATCGCTTCAGCGTAAAGCTGAATAGTCCGAGGTCTAAAGGTGCATGGCTGAACCGCTGACCTTATCAGGTGCCATTCTTCTTTTTGTCTGCAGAGAATACGACATGACAGCATGACATCACCATATGACGTCTACATGCGAGGTTTGAAAGAGTCAGTATTTCAATGTTACACTATCGCCCCACCATGGTGGTATAGTGGCTAAGGTACTCGGCTGCTGACCCGCAGGTCACAGGATCAAATCCCAGCTGGAACTGCTGCATTTACGATGAAGGCGGACATGTTGTAGGCCCGTGTACTCAGATTTGGGTGCACGTAAAAGAACCCCAGGTGGTCGAAATTTCCGGAGCCCTCCACTACGGCGTCTCTCATAACCATATGGTGGTTTTGGGACGTTAAACCCCACATATCAGTCATCAATATTACACCGTCGATACAACACATAGCCAAGCTTGCTATAAGCGAAATGATGCAAATTGTTCTTAATTCTTTGAAGTAAGAAGACCGCATAGAAAAATAACGTAATATTTATCATGGTTAGTAAAGGTGCCAATAGTATAACGCTGTTCTGTTGCGGTGTTAGAGCGACCTTTTCTGCGCGTGCGTTAAGGTATGAATAGACCCATTTCATGTTATTAAACAGTGGTAGGCACCGTCGACATACTCAGCTGCTTCTGGTGACGTCGTGGTGCGTAGGCTCCGCCTAGCTCAAAGCTCGCCACAGCCCTATACAATCACGGGGCACGCGTGGGATGCTTGCCAATGCTCTGTGCTTGGAGGCAGCTCTGTGGCAGTTGCCACGTGATCATGGAGGGCGGTGGCAAACCGGGTTGGGCAGAGACTACGCGTTGTGACGTTGCTACAAGCGCCTATATGTCAACAGTGCCTACCGCTGTTTACAAACACGGAATACGTCCTTGAGCAAACGGAATACCAATAATACTTCGCGTATCTCAGGTTTCGTCACAAGTGTGGGATAGCATTCAAGTACACACAAAAAATTTATGTGAGATTTATTCCTCAGTTCACTGGAATTGTCTACTAAATCATTATCACCAATTAGCGACTAATTTTACAGACTTTTATTGACGCTTCTTCCGGTGTCTTCAACCTGACTTACTCCTCCGAGACTCAGGGTCATTTTATCATCCCCTCTTCACAGCTGTTAATAATGGTCAAAAATGTAAGGTACTTTCTTCACTCCGGCTCCGTCATTCTGAATGAACTGCTCAGCAAAGGTGAACAAGAACTTTTCTGCTGTCTGGAACAATAGTCATGTCCGACCCTAACGTTGCTGCTGACAGGAAGTCCGCAGGAGCAACAGGAAGCCACATGCGCGCCTTCTTTCCTCGCGCAGAGCTCCATCTGCCAAATGCCCCTCCACGGTGGTCTAGTGGCTAAGGTACTCGGCTGGTGACCCACAGGTCACGGGATCAAATCGCGGCTGTGGCGGCTGCTTTTCCGATGGAGGCGGAAATATTGTAGGCCCGTGTACTCAGATTTGGCTGCACGTTAAAGAACCCCAGGTGGTCAAAATTTCCGGAGCCCTCCACTACGGCATCTCTCATAATCAAATAGTGGTTTTGGAACGTTAAACCTCACAAATCAATGAATCCATCTGCCGAACCTATGACACAATAAAAAGCAGCTTTAATATTTATTTGAACAATAAAAAACTGTAAACACCACCTGATGGCGTCGCTATGGGAAGTCACAGCATAGAAAAATTGGTGCCTTTCCGTTAACTTCATGACGTAACGTCAATGAATGACGTCATCGTATGATGTCATCGCTTGATCAAAGGTGAACCGACCATGAAGACAGTGCAAGGCAGGAGCAGGAGGCTGGCAAAACCTCATATACTGGAGGCGGAATGTCAGGTGCCGAAAGCTTTTCGAGGCTGCCTTGGGAAGATCTATTCATCTATACTGAGAAGGCAAAGAAGTTGTAGGATATTGATTTTGCCATCGAGTATTCTTAATTCATTTTGTTTATACGCTGTGAGATTTGACCCGAGAGTAGTTCTTGCCGGAGTGCACCGACATTTCAATTACGTATTGTAGTCCCTAACAAATTGCGTTTGTAAAACGCTCACCATTGCATGCGAAAGAAACACTTGGAAAAAACTTAAGTTGATCCCTCTTCGTAAGCCACGTTTTTTTTCCATGCTTCTACACGTTTCTGAAGAGGTTTGAACGCGCTTTTCGACGGCAGAGTGTGTCAGGGAACTAACGTGTCATCATGCGCTGTTAGTCGAAATGAAGATAAAGATTTAGGCTTGGGCAGGGCATGAATCAAGAAGTGAAGATTAGCTCTCGTCCCTAAAAGTAATATACTGGATTCCAAGAAAAATAGAGAGCGCCACGAAGCCAGAGAAAGAAGCGTGGCGTTAACGTTACAGCAGCAAGCGCTGACCGGGCTAACTGGAGAAACATTGCAGATGTCCTTGCCTTGCCGTGAGAGAAGTTATATTGACCATGGTGACTTAACGTAGCAATAAAACAAAAGGAAACTGAAACCTTCTTACGCATTGAGAATGCCAGCGTTAGCAAAGTACTCCTTTCTCTCCATGTGGTAGAGCTTGAAGGGAAGTGCTCCCATTCGATAAGGCTTCCGTCCCTCCTCTTGGTACAAGGTTCTAATGTCATCAGCGTTGAAAAGGTGCACCAGGACTCGCCTTCCAGGGAGTTGTTCTCCTACGACAGGGCCGTACCGCTGGTACATGTCCCAGGCCGCTTCATTCTGCTTCCGTATATTGTATCTACCTGAAATATAAAGGAACAACAATGGGACTCTCTACCACTCGGAAAACTTTTTTCTGATTGTGGCACCAATAAAAAGATCGTTAATCACATTGGTGGCAACAAGTATGCTTTCGTGCCAAAAAAAAGGAGTCATAATTTTAACTTGATCTTGAAAGTCGATAAAAAGTGACCACTAACGTCGCCCAACAGTGAATGTGGTCAATCTTGACAATCTATTGGTATGACAAGAAATCGTCAGAGGTGAAAGTATTTTGCCGAAAAAACAAACACGTTTAACTTGACTTTGTATTTTATGCACTTGAGGCAGCTTCGTATTGCGCCAGAGACAAATTTTTTATTTTTTTTTCTCACCCGTTCAAATAGGCGCCTGGTGGCGATGTCGGCGTTGTGTTTTCTTTCCTGCATGCCTCCCTGCAAACGGCGGTAATACGCGACCACGGCGTCCGCCACCACTCACGAGAAGAACAAAAATTTGTGTGCGTGCCTCAAATGACCATTCAGGTTATTGATTTATCAATAACCAAACTTGATGAATCCTACAACAACCACACGCGGTTTCAGTTTTCGATTTTTACCGCCGCCCACCAGCGTGGTCGGCATTCATCCCACCGATGGAAGGAGACACAACGCGGATATAAATTCCTTTTAAAAAAATTCTACGCGCTTTTCAGAGAAACCGCTGCAAGGTTAGACGCTCCACATGATACGCTTTTTATTGCGACACAGAACAGGAGAGCAATGAAGGACAGTAGACAGTCCCTTTAACATAAGATAACAGTAGATGAAACTTTTTATTACCAACTTGAGCCTAGATCATTTTCTGTCAAATGTTATTGTTTGGGACTCATCGTGATGTGACAATTTGTACGAGAAAATACGCAGATATACGTAGTTTTATTGCTACGATATATTGCAGCAAAATGTGAAGTGCAAGCAGAAAGAAAATGCGTGCTGTCATGCGCTCAAGAGCGAGCACCAACATTACCTCTCCAATAAGCGCATGCAGTGGCTTACTTCCACAAAGCCATATCGATGAGCAGTCCAAAGTTTGATGGGCCAGTAAATCGCATTGCTTTTCCCTCCTTACAGATAATGATCACAGCTGCGATAAAGTATGCAGAGGTTCTGGCGTGTCTGCTGAGACAGCACACACTGAGTGAACAAGCCCGATGGTTCAATGAACCAGTCAATCTTGTATGGAGTTGTTTCTTGTTATACGACCTTGTTGGCAGGCGGAAACAGACAAGCGTCTTCAGACCAGGCTGATTAAAATAGAAGCGGCACACTCCACTCGTAGCGCATCTGTTTTGAACTCAATCACCACACACTTTCACACAATTGTGCATCAATATAGAGCGTTTCGCTGTGTAGGCTGGCACCAGGGGTTCAAGGAGCATGAGTACGCGTCCTGTTACGCATCCTAAGAGACGTGCCTGATAGTTGTGTGCTCCGAAGCGAAGCCGCATAATGGTCAAGCGCACTCGTAGTGCCATAGCGTTTTGTGAAGTATGCATTTGTTCACGTCCTTACCTTTTGAAAAGTTACACCGGTTATAGGTTGCTGCGTAAGATTAATTGTTCCAACCCCATTACTTCCTTAGTACGACAAAGTTATCAGCCCGAGGAAGGAAATGTGCAGGTTTCGAAGTTGCGACTGAAGGAGTCACAACAGTCCTGATGGCTGGCTGAAATATGATAACGACATAGTCGTACACGTGGAAATTTGTGGTGGTGCGATCGGGCTTTCGGTTTTCGTCTACCGTTAGACTCAAGAACTGCAGGTACGTACATCAAGCCACGGCCGTTGGCTTCCCGGCGTTGCAGGGTGCTCTGCTAGTCCCTGCTTTATCCCGATCTTTCTTGGACATACAGGATTTATTCTTCGCTTACCATGCGCCTAAACAATGGGTTTCAAAGTCAGCCAGCGTCATATAAACGTTGACACTGTTGACGAACAAGTAATTCAGAGGCTTTTTTGCTTTTGCTAGAACAATCTGCCGGTGCTTACGATGATTTTATATGACAACAATAGATGGCAGCCTCATGCTTTGATTGGCGTGGTCGAGCCAGTAGAGCCATGCAGTTTGAGCTTTGGTGACAGCACTGTGGTGGATTGATCTGGCCAAGCTTGGCTCACCGTTGGAGTAACGTGGCTAACATCTTGAGTAAAGTAACCTGCCAGGATTTTCGCTAGTCTCTCACTGTTGGCAACGATGATTTCGGCAGTGCGTACGCAGAGCCCGGCACACCGGGCACTCATGCGCTTAGAGCAGCGCATGTTTATTCCCGCCACCCCATCGTCTTGCGTACGCAAGCCACTTGGGCACCCAACTATTGAAACTCTGTAATGTCAACTGCATTTATTTTACGCACGTTTGGCTCGAAGCGTTTCCAGCCCCGCCGCGGTAGTCCAGTGGCTAACGTATTCGGCTGCTAACCCACTGGTCGCAGGATCGAACGCCGGCTACGGCGGCTGAATTTTCGATGAAGGCGAAAATGCTGTAGGCCCGTGTGCTCAGGTTTAGGTGCACGTTGAAGAACGTTAAACATATGCTGGTCCCAATTTCCAGAGCCCTCCGTTAAGGCATCTCTCATAAATATATGGTGCTTTTAGGAGAATAAACCTGACATATGAAGCAATCACATATAGAAGTATTCTGTGTAATAGGTAGCTTGCTTTAAACCACGAAAATTTCCTCGCGTGAAATATTTTCGAACCTTCTATGCGGTAAACCATAAACAATGAAATCCCGGCTTTCAGCACGTCAGCTAATATTAAAGCGAACATCTTTTTTTATTTTCTACGAGCCGCCAGAAAAGCTCCACCACGCACAATTAGCAAACTGCCTTGTACAACAGTCATAGACTAACTGCCCACTGGTGTTAATATTACAAATTGCTGCTTTCACATTCATTTCGGGGGTCTCGTGCTGAAGTACTTCAAGAGTGCAAACAGATACACACCATAAAGAAAAGACGACACACGCAAGCACTGTTGCTTTTATTTTATGCGCCACGCAATTGACAAAAAAAAAATTACACACAAGATTGTGATCTGGCCCCTCTGAGGTGGTCTAGTGGTTAAGGTACACGGCTGCTGACCCGGAAGTCGCGGGTTTGAATCCCGGCTGCGGCGGCTGCATTTCCGATGGAAGCGGAAATGCTGTAGGCCCGTGTGCTCTGATTTGGGTGCACGTTAAAGAACCCAAGGTGGTCGAAATTTCCGGAGCCCTCCACTACGGCGTCTCTCATAATCATATGGTGGTTTTGGGACATTAAACCCCAGATATCAATCAAATCAAGATTGTAATCTGAGTTGAAAAATGAAGCAGTGCATTACGTACGCGAAGAAACAATATCAAAGTCGGATGGGTGCATGGAGAGAGACATGTGACTCATGCAAAGATGAGCACTTTTTCTGAGATGATAGGCTTCCAAAGCCAGCAGCGCATGCTCATTGTTGCTCCTGCCAAGGATCGGCGTCGCTTAAAATCGTGCCTCCCAATTGCAGCAAGTGTTAATATGCGTCACAAGATGGGCTCCTTTATCAGCATTCTTGTTAACATTTTGCGAGTGTTCTTTAAGCTGCTCGTTGATGCATCTTTCAGTTTTTCCGTGTCGTTTCTTTCTATGTGGTGTGTCTGTTTGCGCTTATAAGTACCTTTGTGATCATGAACCAACTAGGCTGAAATGAAGTTTTACTGAAGTTTCTCTCACGGTAAAATTGCAATTTCTTTTCCTTTCTTGCTTCATGTGGCACTTTCCCTGCTATTACTCCATTCTGACCGTGTTTTATTTCTTTCTTTCCTTATTGATTGCTTTCTTTCCAACTTTCCTCCTTTCCTTTTTCTTTCTTTCCTTCTTTGCTTCTCTATTTTGCATTGTACAATGCGCTGTTCTAACCCTTCTTGCTTTTCCGTGCTGGTAACAGGATTTTCAACTCTATGCTGAGGACAACAATAATTCTGTTTCCACAAGCAACAACGAGAACAAAAACAAATGCAGTGCGTAATAAAAAAACAGAGATAGATCACCAATCAGAAGCTGCTGATGGACGACATGCTCATGATGAAGACAGAATAATTAAAGCGAAAAATCAACCATCATCTCAAGTCAGCGGCGATAACACAAAGGAAGCAAAGCGAAACATTAAAACGTTATGACGTCACCATATAACAGCACGACGATCTCAGAGATCACGAAGTATTGTGCCATCATTGTGTCTTTAGGACTTCACTGGGACACCATGTTAGGCGAAATCACGTGATGTCACAGTGAAGACGAAGTTTCGTGAACGTTGCGCCAATCGCAGGGGACGAGTTGCCTCCAACCCTGGAGGCACCTTTGGGCAGATGCGCACAACCAAAGAAGATATTTAGTTGCTCAGTTTAAGCTCCTCAGTGCAATCTCCCCCCCCCCCCCCTGCTTTCTTTCTTTTTTCCTAACAGCGCTGACCCATGGACGGTGAAAATAACGGTCATTTGAGGAAATAATGAAGGTGAGCCGGAACCTCCCCAAGGAAGTCCAAGTTTGTGGCTCTGCCCATAATTAAACCAGGAGATGGAGCATGAATCCAAGCGATGTCACAGGTGCTCTGAACAGCCTGCAATTTATGTGTAAAGTCCGCACTTGGCAGCAGGTTATACTACAGGTGGCCTTGTCATCTAAGTTCGAGGCCCAAGGGGAAAAATGTAAACTCAGCGAAAAACGTCACGTGCTCATTGTCAGTACAAAGTTGCGCATGCACAGCTGCTTAATTTGTCTGTATGGAAAGCTTTACAGAACCACAGAACTTCTCCAGTTGCCCCCTCTCCGTTGCCCTTAACATTAGTGACCTAATTGCAAAAATCTAAACGTCGAAATGTAGGCGTAACAAGGTTTACTTTATGTGACATTTTTTTCTCTTCATGTGGGTTTGTTGCGATGGTGATATAGAGACATCAGTTATATTAATGCGCAAACATAGCGGGCGTTTCAAGAAATGTGTTAAAACTTCCTTAA